CGACCAGCAGACGAGCGCCATCTACCGATCGTACTACCGTGCCCGCTACGAGCGAGCCGTGAGCGCCCTCTACCGACGGAACACCGCGACTACAGCGCGCCGGGTCAACTCGTCAACCAGTGTGGGCCGAATCAACTACTGTGAAAGGAGAATCAACCATATGTATGATGCACTGCCCCCCCACCACACGACAAACCAGGCGTCTGCTTGACGCAAATAATTAATTCCGAACATTGGCCTACTCCACACAATCCATATCACTCAAAACACACACAAGTCATTACCTAAAGCCTAATCCTCAAGACGTGAACCATCAGTGGCCGTAAAAGCATCGCGACAGACCATGTGATAACCATCCTTCCTTTATAAGTACAGTAATAATTTTTCCTCCTTAATTTTTTTGTTTTGGGTTGTACTTCTAATCGCATAAATTACCAACAGATCCATCAATACAAATTAATCCTTGACACCTTCGCCACGGAGCTACGCTCAAGGGGGGGGGGGAATAGCGTGTCCAACCGGTTTCCTTATCAGGCGATCTGGTCCACAATTAATTAAAAGTTGGCCCAAGATAAGATCTCAGGGGAAAGCGCGCACCCCATCGCACACCCTCACTCCAAGCCATTTCTGTAATCATATAATCTTGCTGATGGATCTATTGATATATTTGTGCCTTTGGGAATAGTAACTGTTTTTGATTGTCTTTTCGTATGAATATCGTCGTATAATCTTAAGTACCTTTCGTTCATAATTGCCGCACGTTTCTCGTGTTGCATAAGAATTGCTCTGATATCCAAAGTGAAACAACGTGATAAGAATTGACTTGAAGGTCTATGAATGGATGCGGTACTGTGGGCAATTTTCAAGTATACGAATTTGCATATTATAAAGTTAAGGTTTTTGTTTAATTATAGCGAATGCATGTTTTTAACGACTCTCTTTCTCACCAACTGAGCTCGTGTTACGCGGGGGAAGGAATCACATGTGCCATTATCAAAGTGAAACAACGCAGTCATGATGATACTGTGTTGATACTGCGGTGAAATTCCAAGATTGAGAGTTGCATCTTTTAGAGTTAAAGTTTAGTTAGAAAATAAAATTAACACAGAAGTGGTGGTGTGTTTCTTTCCGAAATTTCATGCATAAGAGCTGTATCCTGCGTTGAGATCTGAATCTGGAGACCTGACATAAATACACATACACTCAGTAAATGTTAAAGCGAGAATAATTGTACCATACCGATCGATAATACGAAGTTAAACAACGAAGCCGAGTTTAATCTGACATGCTCACAGCACCTGCATAACTGCATACGATAAATTGTCTCAACCCGATTGGATACGACACTCGTCATTGAGCCTGATTATCATAACTGCTTGCTTTAGCATAAGCACACACACTCGAATAAATTAATACGATTATCTCTCGAATTAGCATAATTTATGTGCATAATTACATCCAATAACATAATTTCGGATAATTACACAATTTTCCTAATTTAATTTAATTTTTATTATTTTCATCAAATTTTCATAACCTACATATACAACAGGGGGGTAAGGGGAGGGGAGCGCTGCGTGAGTGCGAGGAGAGGGGACGTGAGGCTGGGGGGGGAAGTGGGCGGGGCTGTAAGAGGGGAGGCCGAGAAAGCTGGTGAAATGAGCTTATAAAAATAGACTAGTACCCGGCAGATATGACAGACACAACCATAAAGCAGTTACGGTTTTATCTGGTTAATAACATCCTTCCAATGATAGCTCAATTTGTATCCATCTTCTCGGTTGAAGTTACGTCTAAGTTTATAAATCTGGATGGCTTCATGAACAAACCTTTGATAGTAGCCAGAAGGTTTGCAGAGTACCTTGGTCTCGGAAAAAACAATATCATGCGAGTCTGCAGCGTTATAACAATGGTCAGCCATGGCAGAGGTATTGATTTCTGCCGTGTTTCAGATCTGCCTTGTCTTCGCGGACACTGTCCGAGACATGTCGTTCCGTTCCCCCAATGTAACTGCTACTGCAGGTACAAATCAGTTTGTAAACTCCAGAATATTGCATGTCAGGAATGGCATCCTTCACAGATGGGATTAGATCACGGATTTTATGTACTGTATTGAATCGAACCTTGATCTTGTGTTTGTTTAAGATTTTGGAAATATTTTTAGTAACACCTGTGTATGGTAACATGATGGTTTTGATCTGCTTCTCAGGGGGTTGATTCTCCATGGTTGGAGAAACAGCTTTGCGAATAATGCGGTCCAAGTACCCATTAATCTTGAGGGCCTGGTGTACGTGTTCCAGTTCACTGCCTAGGTGGTGGTGGTCGGAAATGCAGTGGGCCTTATGGTGTATTGTTTTGATGAGGGAATTCTTCTGTGCCGGATGGTGGTGGGAATTAGGTTTCAGATAGGAATCTGTGTGGGTGGCTTTCCTGTAGACAGTGTCCCAACGAGCCATCAGGGCCTCTTCTCAAACAAAACATCCAGGAATGGTAGCTTACCATCCTTCTCCACTTCCACAGTCAATTTGATGGATGGGTGTATGGAATGTGATGTGGTTGAGAAATTGGTTCAAAGCTGGCAGGCCATGTGGCCAAATGTCAAAAGTGTCATCTACATATCTCTTCCACAAGAAGGACGTAGGGTGGATGTCTGGATGGCATCTGTTTCAAATTTATCCATGAAAACATTCGCTATCACTGTTGATAAGGGGGAACCCATGGGGGTACCTTCATTTTGTTTGTAGAAATTACCATTCCAGGTGAAGTAAGTGTTGGTAAGGCAGTGCCTAATCAGAGTAGGTACATCAGGATTCAGTCCTTGTTGGACTAAGTCTTCAATTATTGCTAAGGTGCCAGGTACAGGAACCTTGGTGAACAGAGAAACGACATCAAAGCTGGAGCAAATCATCTGGGGACAGTGAAATGCCCTTTTAGAGAGACCAAGTGAGCTGAGTTACGTACTGCTGAGGTAGTCTTGCCCGCAAGGTATCAGACAAAAAATGGGCCAGTTTGTAGGTAGGTGAGTTGATAGTGGAAACGATGGGCCGAAGTAGAGTACCTTCTTTATGGATTTTCTGGAAGACCATAGAATCTGGGTGGTCTAGTAGCAGGTTTTAGGGAGAGCCGTTTGAATGGTTCGATTAGAGAAGTCGAACTTGTAATGATATTGTTGGTTTTGTAGCCAGGCAGTTGGTAGGATCTTTGTTTATTTTGGTGTAACTGTCATCATTAAGAAGATCCTGGATTTTGTTGTTGTATGTGGTTTTATCCATGATGACAGATGCATTGCCCTTGTCGGATGAGAGGATGACTATGTTATCTCTCTTTTTCAATTTGGCGAGTTCAGAGCGCTCGTCTTTGCTGATGTTACTAATGGGTTTCTTAGCATTAAAAACAAAAAAATATTGCTGTGGTTTTCCCACCTGATGATGATTGCTTGTGTTGCAATCAAAACGTCATGATTTGTTTTATTTTAATTTATTTCTAACTACGTGAATTTACCGAAAGAACCAAAGAGTATGGATTCCTGCAGTCACGAAAGCTTCAAATCAAGAGCATTGGTCGTAGGTGATAAATTACAATGTCAGAAACACATCTCCATAGGACCTATGCTATGACCCCGTTTCTAGCGCCCATTCACTAAGCGCTTTCCAGGAACACATCTCCCGTGCTAAACGGGGTATGCCTGTACCCGCCAGATTCATCTACCCAGCAGATCGATCATTGATATTATAAATCCTCTACTCTCCTCACGCTAGATCAGGAGATTAGAAATGGGGTAAACCGACTCTTACACCTTTCTGCCTCCACCTGATGGGGTTTTGGACTCTCGGACCTGAGACGGAGGTCAAGGCATTATTAAACTAGAGAGAATGATCCCATCGGTTTATTTGAGGTGTAAAAAAAATCCTCGGACGAGGTCATCCGCAATATCGTGTCCACTCAAGGTGGTGAGGATTCCAGACCCGTGGGTATGGGCCAGGAGAAGACACAAATGCCATATCCCAATATGAGCTAAGAGGGGTGGAATTTCTAGGAACCAAAAAAACCCATTTTGTCGATACCATGCGACTGGAGGCAGCGTGAAGCTTTGAAGATGGTGTGAAAGACCAGTTGAAGGCATAGGTACTGTGAACTTTGCAGAGGATAAAGTCAGTAATGCGTGGCTTCAGAGTGCCACTACATCGCTGCATTAGAACTGCGGAGTAATATATACCCAATAAGAGAGAGCCTGAAGAGAGGCAGGGAAGCAGCACTGCGGTCCTGTAGGAAATGCTCGCCCCAACTTGAATCCCTTTCGCACATACTTGGACAGTGTCCAGCGGTCCAGAAAGCCAGGAATGCACTCCGCATTAAAATGTGACACCTTGGCAGTAGAAGCGGTGGAAATGGGTTGGTCGATCTAAAATGAGCCCTATTTGAGAACTGATAAAGGTGATCTATGGGAAACTTGATCTGTTTTTTGTCAGAGGTGACCACACACTCGTAATTGATGTGACCGTCAGGTTCGAGCTCTCGTGTAGCTCCTTGGCTGAATCTGCATCTGACAAAGTTGCATATTGTTGTCCTTTTCGAGAGCAGGTCATGGAGCTTACAAAACCAAGAGCATCAATTTTGATGTATTTCCAGTGGGGGAAAGAGGAAAGTGGCTTCTTGGGAACAATGGAGTTCTCACCTCCATTGGATTTACAAGCTCACGAATAACCGCGGCAAAGTTACGCCAAGGGTGCGTCTTGTCTCCACTCCTGTTTGTGATTTTCATGGGGAGGATATCAAGGTGCAGCCGAGGTAGGGAGAGTATCCAGTACGGAGGGCATGGAGGCGTCGTCGTTGCTTTTTGCAGATGACGTCACTTTGTTTAGATATCATTTGTGTTAGCCAGGTTGCTTCTGAAAAATTAGTAAATACCAGTGGGCTTTGCCTGGTAGGATGGGGATGGTTTCGTTTTATTTGTATGTGTTTGGGTGATTTGTTTACCTGTCTTGTACTTTGTACTCCTATCGTGTTTGTGTGTACTGTGTATTGTTGTTGTAACGTTATGACCCTCGTGCCCCGACTGGACATCTGTCAAAGAGAGCTTTATAGCTCATTGGATTCCTCCTGCCGTATAAATAAATATTCGGATTCTGAGATATAATCGGTACTATGAGCCCTTATCATCCCACAGCATGGAGCACGCACAGCCTCTGACACCAATTGAAAACAACCTGCTGTGTAGATAGGAGGTTTCTTGATCCTTACATCCAAACGGTGTAGATATTTTCACAGCCCATCTATTAACCCAGAGCTATAAGTGACTAGTGGTGCAGCTAACTGGTTAGTCATTTGCAATTAATTTTGAACTGTTGAAGATTTCTTGGTAGCGTCTTTACCCTCCCGATATATTCCTCACTGACTAACTGTTCCCCCGCATGTCTGCCAATCTCCACTGTGCGGTCCCCATGTGCACCTCTCACAAAGGGCTTGACAAATCAAAACTACTCCCGCTCACCGATCACGCACGTTCCCTTTCCTACGTGTGTCTTCACGTGATTCTTCAGGGTCGTGGAGTGCCGGAAGTCCCTCTCGCACACGGAGCACTTGTACGGCTTCTCTCCCGTGTGCGTCTTCATGTGGCTCTTCAGGGATGCAGTGCAAACGAAGTCCTTGCCACACGCCGAGCACTTGTGCGGCCTCTCTCCCGTGTGCGTCAGCATGTGGGTCTTGAGGCCCGCGCGATGCACGAAGTCCTTCTCGCACACCGAGCACTTGTGCGGCCTCTCTCCCGTGTGGCTCATCACGTGGGTCCTCAGGGCTGCGTACTGCTTGAAGGCCTTGCCGCACGAAGAGCACTTGTGCGGCCTCTCCCCCGTGTGGTTCATCATGTGAGTCTTCAGTTCCGACGGGCGGAAGAACCCTCTTTGGCACACGGAGCAGCGGTGGCTCCACTCCCCCGTGTGGCTCTTCACGTGCCTCTTGAGCTGCGTCGACTCGGTGAACCCCTTGCCGCACACGGGGCACCGGTGCGGGCTCTCGCCTGTGTGCATCGCCATGTGGCCCCTGATGGCCGACGGGCGACTGAAGCCCTTGCCGCACACCAGGCACCGGTGCGCCCTCTCACCGGTGTGCGAGGCCGCGTGGTTCTGAAGGGTGGACAGGCGGCCGAAGCCCTTCCCGCACACGGTGCACACGTGGGGCCTCTCGCCCGTGTGGATCATCGCGTGGACCTTCAGCGCGAACGAGCGCCCGAAGCCCTTCCCGCACACGGTGCACATGTGGGGCCATTCGCCCGTGTGGATCATCTCGTGGTTCCTCAGCTGCGTCTCCTTGGCAAACCCCTTCCCGCAGACCGAGCACTCGTGCGGGCAGTCGGCCGAGTGGACCGCCAAGTGGCACTTGAGGGTGAACGGGCGACTGAAGCCCTTCCCGCACACGGGGCACACGTTCGGTTTCTGCACGGCGTGAATCGCGGCGTGCGTCGCGAGGGCCGAGGGGCGGCTGAATTCCTTGCCACACACGGAGCACTCGTGCGGCTTCCCTCCCCTGTGGACCCTCATGTGGTTCTTGAGGTTGGACACGGCGACAAATGCCCTCTGGCACACGCAGCACTTGTGCGGCTTCTCTCCCGCGTGGCTCATCGTGTGGTTCCTGAGGTCCGACGGGCGGACGAAGCTCTTCCCGCACACCGAGCAGCCGTGCAATCTCGTTCTGGCGCGGGTCGCGGTGGCGGTGGCGGTTGTCCCGGTGGATTTTTTCGCATGGGAGAGCGTTTCCGGGGCACCGTCCACGATCATCCCTGTCACACAAACGTTCAGACCGTTGTTGTTTTTTTATCCCACACCGATTGGCGTCACGCCGTGAGACGGAAGAATCCGTTTGGATGCCTCCCCCCCCCTCGCAGAGTTGACATGAGAGAAAGGCCCATGGAAGCAGTTATCACCAAACCTCTGATCTAGCACGTGGAAAGGCGAAGCACTTTCCCCACCTGCCCTGCCACGTGAGAGGAACGTTTTTTTTCCTGATGGTAAAACCAATATTTACATTATCAGAGATGTAGTGGCCAAATTAATTGTTGTAGACCCACATTTTAACACCATGAATTTTTGTTGCTGATGCAGTCATTATGAGACCTCCTTTGCCAGTAACAAGATATAGGAATAGGTTTTACCCTTTTAACTGGGACAAAACACTGACACCTTTATTCAAGGCATCATGTTTGCAATAACCACAACACAAGCAGTCAAAATGCAAACAAAAAAGACAACTCTGATAAGTTGTATGCCTTTTGGCATCTTCTGGTCCAACACCAATGGAGACTAGGCTCTAAGAAAAGCTGTCTCGGGTGTGGACCAATCAAATTCAAGGACAGTGCATATTATTATCAGTTGTCTTTTTTGTTTGCATTTTCACTGCTTGTGTTGTGGTTATTGCAAACATGATGCCTTGAATAAAGGTGTCAGTTTTTTGTGCCAGTTAAAAGGGTTAAACCTATTCCTAGATGCAGTCATTGGTTGAGGGGGCTGTGAACATCAACCTACTACACTTAAACTAAATGAAACCATTTTTCATTTTATTTTACCAGGTAAGGCCGTAATAAGTGACCTGCCTATCACAAGTGATAGCTCAACAAAGTGGCTTATCATCACGTGGATAATACATAGCTACCAAATACTTTCAACATGTGATGTTCATTCTAGATATTGAGGGAAAAACCGGAAGACCCGGTTAAAAATCCATGCAACCACAGAGAGACACGCAAACTCCAAATATACAGCAGGTGTCAGGGTCGGGATCAAACCCACAACCTCATGTATATCAGGCGAGGGAGTTAACATTTCTAAGTCACCACAGCACCCCCAAACATACACATGGAGCTCCCCTGTACACTTATCACTTAAGTCCTCCAAAGCCATCTCCATCTCTCCACCACGTCGACAGCTTGGAGAGGCCTCTGTACCAGACCTCACCCCTCACAGCGACCAAGATCCATCGGAATTCCCTCCCCTCCCCTCCCTCACCGTCACCATCGTCGTCGTCGCCCACCTCCACTTCGATCTCCGCCACGCCTGACGATCCCAAACAATCCCCCCGCGACTCTCCAGGTCTCACAGATGAACCGTCGCCAGCCAGCGGATCTTGAGGGTCGACCTCCACAATGTGCAGCTCCCTTCCTTCAACCTCCCGCGTCTCTCGTTTGACCTGAAGTTCTCGGCCATCTTCCTCTCCGGCACGCACGTCCGCCCCTTCGACCGAGAGATGAAACATCACAGGCGAACAATGAACAGGTTATATACCTACGGGGTACCTTTTTTTCTGCCAGTATACAAAAAAAAAGATGAAAATAAGAAAATAAAAATAACCCTTTCTGGCAAAAATAAAATTGGAGTTGTGTAAAGATGTTCAAACACCGGCGAGATACCTTTTCGCAAGGCATCAAGTCTGCATTAACCATACATACTCGTGTCGATGCATGTGTAGTGTAATAGCGCCGTCTGTTGTCCAGCAATGGCAACTGCGGTGGCCGAGCAGTACACACGCCGGTGAGCATATACGCGGGTGTGTCGCCAGGGCGGAGGAACTGGGGCAAGGGTCAGGGAGGACCCCATCTGGAAGCCCCTGGAACCCGCTCGTGAGTTTGAGAAAGGAGGCGTGGCCAGGGCAGAGCCAGGCCGTGCCGGGTAGCATAAAATTAGCGGAGAGCGAGAGCTCGTGGCTGCTGGTTCTGGGAAGTGGACTCGTCTCATCGTCGCTGCCGTGTTCACTAGATATTGCGCGGCTGGATAGTTGTTGGCTATCTCGGTCGTCGCCATCGGTGTAACACGGTGAAGATTGTGTCAAGGCTAGGCTAGACAACTTGGGAGAAGTGAGGGCGAATCTGTGAACCTGAAAGTGTTGAATAAAGGTGCCTCCTCAAGAACCTTGCCTCCCACTCCGCTGCAACACATGCAGACATGCTCTGATGATAAATAAATTGTCTTTGAAGCTGATTGGTCTACACCAGAGACAGCCTTCTTAATGGCCTTGTCTTCATCACCAGTGTTGGTAAACCAGCGAATGCCAACAGGTGAACAGTACAAAGACAATGCAAGTAGGAGAACAAATATTGCTCGGCTGGAGCAGTCGTATGTATAGGATACCTTTTTTGCCAGTATCCAAAATTGTATCCAAAAATCAAAAATTAAAACCTAATCGTATTAATCATCACAATCAACAGATTCGTGAGCACGGACACTCGTTGCACGTAATGTTGTGGGTTTACTCTCCAACACACAACAACCAGTTAGTGCTGTACTAGTAACGAATTGGCCACGTTTTGTTTATGTGACAAACCCCTTACTGATTGGCTGTGTCGGGTGCTGGTGAATTTCACGACACATTTATGTTTATGTAATCTAACCCATCTGTAATCATCATCATCATCCACGGTCAATCCACTGTCGGGTGATCGTCCTTCCAAAGCCACCACCACCTCTCAGGACCCTGCGATGTCAAAATCCATCCGACACCAACACGTGCCGAGCCGATTCAAATCGCTCCTTCTCCACGGTTTAGCGTGACTACTCTCACGGGTGTTGTTGGCTGTCACCGTGACAGTTTTAACATGTTGTCATACAGTACAACCCCCTCTAGATCGTTCAGTGATTTGGTCATTAAGCGAATATAGGAAATACACGTTAAAGGCTTAATTCGTTCCGATAGCATCAAAAGTTACCCTTTTTCACACAGTGAAGCAGCATCTCCGTGTCTCTCCCCATGTATCTCTGTGGTAACTCGTTCTGCTTGGATGTCTATATATGTGTATGCGGTCTGTATTCTATCACTCTCTTAAATTTCACAATTAACTTGCAATTTAGCAATCTTTGAAATAGCGTAATCAACCAGACCATGCGTTAATTGTGTTTTGACCGACCATCTGTGTTGCTTTATATGGTTTCCAAATTTTGCTAAACCCTGTTTGATTTAGTGTGCTCCTCCGTCTCTCTCCGTATCCCCTGGTGTATCTGTGTTAATTCTGTACCTGATGATGATTGCTTGTGTTGCAATCGAAACGTCGTACGCTATTATGTAATTTTATTATCTCTTATTTCTACGTGACTTTACCGAAAAAAAACAAAGAGTAATTCCTGCGGATGTGTATGCCTTAACTTAGCTATTTCAATGCTAAATTCTATGCTAATTCCTTTTAACAATGGGTGCCTCTGCGGATGTGTATGCTTTAACTTTTAACATAGCTATTTCTGTGACCAGTCACAAGCTAATCATTCAGCCATTTCAATGCTAAATTTTATGCTAATTCCTTTGTCAAGGCTCTTTGTTCCTCTCACACAGCTTAAAAGCCGTGATCTGAACGTGGCTCTCTCACTCCAGCGCTGTCCTACCAGACAGTCTCGCCCCCTTCACCTGATGAAGGCCGCTTGTGTTGTGGCCGAAACGTCGTGAGAATATTATTGTGTTATTTTATTTTATCAATTTATTATTTTATTCTCATTCTACGTGACTTTACCGAAAGAACCAAAGAAGAGTAATTCCTGCAGTCACGAAAGCGCCAAATCAAGTTTTAATCGCACCAACTGTTGTCACCTTCTCACCAAGCTGCTTGGCAATGGTCTTGTAGCCCATTCCAGCCTTGTGTAGGTCTACAATCTTGTCCCTGACATCCTTGGAGAGCTCTTTGGTCTTGGCCATGGTGGAGAGTTTGGAATCTGATTGATTGATTGCTTCTGTGGACAGGTGCCTTTTATACAGGAAACAAGCTTAGGGAAAAAAGTATTTGATCCCCTGCTGATTTTGTACGTTTGCCCACTGACAAAGAAATGATCAATCTATAATTTTAATGGTAGGTTTATTTTAACAGTGAGAGACAGAATAACAACAAAAAATCCAGAAAAACGCATGTGAAGAATGTTATAAATTGATTTGCATTTTAATGAGGGAAATAAGTATTTGACCCCTTCTCAATCAGAAAGATTTCTGGCTCCCAGATGTCTTTTATACGGGTAACGAGCTGAGATTAGGAGCACACTCTTAAAGGGAGTGCTCCTAATCTCAGCTTCTTACCTGTATAAAAGGCACCTGTCCACAGAAGCAATCAATCAATCAGATTCCAAACGCTCCACCATGGCCAAGACCGAAGAGCTCTCCAAGGATGTCAGGGACAAGATTGTAGACCTACACAAGGCTGGAATGGGCTACAAGACCATTGCCAAGCAGCTTGGTGAGAAGGTGACAACAGTTGGTGCGATTATTCGCAAATGGAAGAAACACAAAATAACTGTCAATCTCCCTTGGCCTGGGGCTCCATGCAAGATCTCACCTCGTGGAGTTGCAATGATCATGAGAACGGTGAGGAATCAGCCCAGAACTACACGGGAGGATCTTGTCAATGATCTCAAGGCAGCTGGGACCATAGTCACCAAGAAAACAATTGGTACCACACTACGCCATGAAGGACTGAAATCTTGCAGCACTCACAAGGTCCCCCTGCTCAAGAAAGCACATACATGCCCGTCTGAAGCTTGCCAATGAACATCAATGATTCAGAGGACAGCTGGGTGAAAGTATTGTGGTCAGATGAGATCAAAATGGAACTCTTTGGCATCAACTCAACTCGCCGTGTTTGGAGGAGGAGGAATGCTGCCTATGACCCCAAGAACAACATCCCCACCGTCAAACATGGAGGTGGAAACATTATGTTTTGGTGGTGTTTTTTCTGCTAAGGGGACAGGACAACTTCACCGCATCAAAGGGACGATGGACGGGGCCATGTACCGTCAAATCTTGGGTGAGAACCTCCTTCCCTCAGCCAGGGCATTGAAAATGGGTAGTGGATGGGTATACCAGCATGACAATGACCCAAAACACACGGCCAAGGCAACAAAGGAGTGGCTCAAGAAGAAGCACATTAAGGTCCTGGAGTGGCCTAGCCAGTCTCCAGACCTTAATCCCATAGAAAATCTGTGGAGGGAGCTGAAGGTTCGAGTTGCCAAACGCCAGCCTCGAAACCTTAATGACTTGGAGAAGATCTGCAAAGAGGAGTGGGACAAAATCCCTCCTGAGATGTGTGCAAACCTGGTGGCCAACTACAAGAAACGTCTGACCTCTGTGATTGCCAAACAAGGGTTTTGCCACCAAGTACTAAGTGATGTTTTGCAGAGGGGTCAAATATTTATTTCCCTCATTAAAATGCAAATCAATTTATAACATTTATGACATGCGTTTTTCTGGATGTTGTTGTTGTTGTTATTCTGTCTCTCACTGTTCAAATAAACCTACAATTAAAATTATAGACTGATCATTTCTTTGTCAGTGAGCAAACGTACAAAATCAGCAGGGGATCAAATACTTTTTTCCCTCACTGTATGTCGTGACGTACATCATCGGTTTTTCTTCCAAACGCGGGTGACGTGTGTGTGTATACACGGATGTCATGACATACACGGAATCGTACACGGAATCGGATGAAAAACCGATTACTTACGTAAGTACACGTATGTATGTGTACATACGTGTACTCACGTGTATATACGTGTACATCACTACGTACGAGTACGTCATCAAAACAGAGCCGGAAGAAGAGCTAAAAGTGAAATAACTTTTATTGGTACCGAGGCTCCCGCCGACAAGGCCACACGGGAAGGTTGTGGTGTGGCACAGCTTTTGGCGCCATCTGTCGAAGAGTGGCGGCGGTCGTGTCGCTACGGTTATCTGCGGTGAGTAAACAACTTCTTTAAAATTGCACAAAGGCACTCCTAGTACTATGCCTCTGTCTAAATTTACTCGTGTGTGTATTTGTTTAACTTCATTTGCAACACCGTACGTAGTCAACCGTGCTATTTGAAGGTGCGGGGGGGGGAAGGACAACAAACTAAAGCACAAACCACAAGCAGTTCTAAAGAAGTTAGTTTTCAATGTTAGCATATTGGTTTAGTGTATATTAGTGTAGTGTATACTAGTGTAGTGTAGTGTGTAGTGTATAGAAGTATAGTATTTAGTAGTGGTGTGTAGTAGTCTATAGGGTATTAGTTTATTGTATTGTATATAGTGTAGTGTATATTGCAGTGTATTGTAGTGTATAGTGTAGTATATAGTGGTTTATAATATAGAAGTGTGGTGTGTAGTAGTGTATAGGGTAGTAGTGTCGCATATAGTAGTCTATAGTAGTGGTGTGTAGAAGTGTGTGTAGTAGTGTAGTATGTAGTAGTGTAGTGTGTAAATCTTGACTTAAAGCTTTTGTGACTGCAGGAATTATTTTTTTCACCTGATGACGATTGCTTGTGTTGCGATCGAAACGTCGTGATATTCTTTATTATTTTTCTATCTACGTGGCTTTACAGAAAGACTCAAAGAGTCGTGTAGTGTGTAGTAGTGTAGTGTGTAGTAGTGTATAGGTTAGTAGTGTAGTGTAGTATATAGTAGTGTATAGTATTGTAGTGTGTAGTAGTATCGTCTACAATACTGTGTAGTAGTGTATAGGGTAGTAGTGTAGTGTAGTATATAGTAGTGTATAGTATTGTAGTGTGTAGTAGCGTATACGGTGGACGGGGACAACCCACCCACTCCACCGCACTAACCCACCCACTCAACCCACCCACCCTCACCCTGCGACTTTCAGTCGTCTCAGAAACGGGGAAAAAGACTGGGCGGGGAAGGGGGGTGTTAAGAGGAACATTTCATGTCGATCTGTCAAACGAGTCGCCTCACAGGGCACATGGGCGGTCTCTGCTGGGGTGGGGGAGACAAATTCTCACCGTGGTCGTCGCCGCCGCTCTCCTCCCCCTGCGTCTCCACTTTCACTGCCAGCCAGATCCTACTGCCAGCCTCTCCGTCGTCGTCTTCTTCTCGCTTAATGAATGACTCCATGGGCGGAAAAGGGGGCTCTTCACCACCACCACCTCCTCTACCACCTCGTCGTCGTCCGTCCCAAGGAAGAGGTGGCAGTATGGGGGTTTCCTGCTGCTGCTCCTGCTGCTCACCGAGAGATGGCAGAGCGAGAGAATAAACAGCGAATCTTGACTTATAGCTTTCGTGACTGCAGGAATTCATGTTCTTTGGGTCTTTCGGTAAAGTGACGTCAATAGGTTCAAAGAAAATAACAAAAAACTACGACATTTCGATCGCAACACAAGCGGTCGTCATCAGGAAAAGGGGGTTAGCCTCTAAAGGGAAACTGTTTATAGAGGTTTAAAATGGGCGTAGCCCAAGTGTCAGCAGCATGGGCGGGGCAGCTGATGTTAATGGGAGTGATGTTAATGCGAGTGGTGTTAATGCGAGTGGTGTTAATGCGAGTGATGTTAATGCGAGTGGTGTTAATGCGAGTGGTGTTAATGCGAGTGATGTTAATGCGAGTGATGTTAATGCGAGTGGTGTTAATGCGAGTGGTGTTAATGCGAGTGATGTTAATGCGAGTGGTGTTAATGCGAGTGGTGTTAATGCGAGTGATGGTACTCGTAGAGGGCAATGACGGCGCTGGTGGTGGGTTTCCACCGATTGAAGGGCTGCCAAGTAATCATTGCATCTCGCTCTACACACTCGCACTGTTGACGGCGGAGGTTGCTGTAAGAGGTGATGGTACTCGTAGAGGGTCACGGCGCCACTAGCAGTAGCCCCCAAAGGGCTGCTGCTAGTGGTGATCGTAGCAGTGGGCAGTGATGTTCCCGGGGGGGGGGGGGGGCTTCCCCCAATTAAAGGGCTGCCAGGTCTAAAATGAAAACATTACAGCCAGTTATGACTTAAACTGGTTGATAACGCCCTTCCAGTGATTGCTGAGTTTGTACCCATCTTCTCGGTTGAAATTGTGTCTACGTCTGTATATATGGATGGCTTCATGAACGAATCTTTGTCGATAGCCAGTGGGTTCGCAAAGTACCATCGTCTTAGATAAATCAATTTCGTGTGAGCCCACCGCATTAACACAATGATCAGCCACGGCCGAGGTATTGGTCCTACCGTGTTTCAGATCTGCCTTGTGTTCACAAACATGGTCCGAGAGACATGTCGCTTAGATTCCCCAATGTAACTACTGCCGCAGAAACACAGCTCCGTTTGTAGACGCCGGGGTACTGCATGTCAGGGATCACATCCCTCACTGATGGGATCAGATCACGAATTTTACGTACCGTGTTAAATTGAACCTGGTTCCTGTGTTTGCTTAAGATTTTGGAAATATTTTTGGTGACCCCTGCAATGTATGGCAAGGTGATGGTTTTGATTGGGTCCTCAGATGGTTCTTTACCAATGGTTTGGTGATAGCAGGGGGGGGGGGGGGCGGGAGCGGAGGGGAAGGAGGGGAGGGAGCAGGGGAAGGAGCAGGGGAGGGAACAGCAGCGGCAGTGGCAGCAGAGCGAGAGGCGAACCCGGCCGAGTGGCTACGGCCTCGTGAGCTCCACAGCGAGAGGCCCGGCCTGGCGCAGCAGCAGCAGCAGCGACGGATTGGCGCCCCGGAACCAGCATAGCGGAGTGGAGGGGTGGGCGCCCCGGAACCAGCATAGCGGAGTGGAGGGGTGGGGGCCCCGGAACCAGCATTGCGGAGTGGAGAGGGGTGGGGGCCCCAGAACCAGCATAGCGGAGTGGAAGGGTGGGGGCCCCAGAACCAGCATAGCGGAGTGGAGGGGTGGGGGCCCCAGAACCAGCATAGCGGAGTGGAGGGGTGGGGGCCCCGGAACCAGCATAGCGGAGGGGTGGGGGCCCCGGAACCAGCATAGCGGAGTGGAGGGGTCGGGGGCCCCGGAACCAGCATAGCGGAGTGGAGGGGTGAGGGCCCCGGAACCAGCATAGCGGGGTGAGGGGTGGGGGTCCCAGAACAAGCATAGCGGAGTGAAGAGGGGTGGGCGCCCTGGAACCAGCATAGCGGAGTGGAGGGGTGGGGGGGCCCCGGAACCAGCATAGCGGAATGGAGGGGTGGGGGCCCCGGAACCAGCATAGCGGAGTGGAGGGGTGGGCGCCCTGGAACCAGCATAGCGGGGTGGGGCCCCGGAACCAGCATAGCGGAGTGGATGGGTGGGGGCCCCGGAACCAGCATAGTGGGGTGAGGGGTGCGGCCCCGCAACCAGCATAGTGGAGGGGTGGGGGCCACGGAACCAGCATAGCGGGGTGAGGGGTGCGGCCCCGGAACCAGCATAGTGGAGGGGTGGGGGCCACGGAACCAGCATAGCGGAGTGGAGGGGTGGGCGCCCTGGAACCAGCATAGCGGAGTGAGGGATGGGCGCCCCGGAACCAGCATAGCGTAGTGGAGGGATGGGTGCCCTGGAACCAGCATAGCGGAGTGGGGGATGGGCGCCCCGGAACCAGCATAGCGGAGTGGCGAGGCCCCGGAACCAGCATAGCGGAGTGAAGGGGTGGGGCCCTGGAATCAGCATAGCGGTGGAGGGGTGGGTCCCGGAACCAGCATAGCGCCCGTGGTGGCGAGGCCCTGGAACCAGCATAGCGCCCGTGGTGGCGGGGCCCTGGAATCAGCATAGCGCCCGTGGTGGCGAGGCCCTGGAACCAGCATAGCGCCCGTGGTGGCGGGGCCCTTGAACCAGCATAGTGCCCGTGGTGGCGGGGCCCTGGAACCAGCATAGCGCCCGTGGTGGCGGGGCCCTAAAACCAGCATAGCGGGAGGCGATATTTTTTTTTCCGGTTTATTTATTTTGGTATAGCCCTGTGAGCCATTCGGCTCTTGAATCGGGTGCAGCCACAACAAACGAAAAACACGAACAAGAAAAACATCTTAAAGTGACTTTGTGTGACTGTGCAAACAGAAAATCCATGAAAAAAATAACCAGCAAAATATGGACGATGAGAAGATGGACGATGAGATGGAGGATGAGAAGCGGCACTTAAATAGTTCGGCTTTGACGGTGGCTAGGGGGATTTCGATTTAAAGCTTTCGTGACTGCAAGGATTTATCTTCTTTGGTTCTTTAGGTAAAGTCACCACCACGTAGAAAGAGAAGAAAATAATACATTGATAAAATAAAATAACGCAATAATATTCTCACGACGTTTCGGCCACAACACAAGCAGCCTTCATCAGGTGAAGGGACGAGACTGTCTGGTAGGACAGCGCTGGAGTGAAAGAGCCACGTTCAGATCACGACCTTTAAGCTTAGAGTCGCGGCATCTCTTCAGAAAGGCCGCTTGTGTTGTGGCCGAAACGTCGTGAGAATTTTATTGTGTTATTTTATTTTATCAATTTATTATTTTATTCTCATTCTACGTGGTGACTTTACCGAAAGAACCAAAGAAGATTAATCTTTGCAGTCACGAAAGCTTTAAATCGAAATTTAGCCGCCTCTACGGGGAGGGATTCCACACCACCATAAGAACATTCAACAGACTCCGGGATAAGAAGGCTCAACTAATCGAGTCTCTCACCTTTCTGAAGAGATGCCGCGACTCTAAGCTTAAAGGTCGTGATCTCAGCGTGGCTTTCTCACTCCAGCGCTGTCCTCCAAGACAGTCTCGTCCCCTTCACCTGATGAAGGCCGCTTGTGTTGTGGCCGAAACGTCGTGAGAATATTATTGTGTTATTTTATTTTATCAATTTATTATTTTATTCTCATTCTACGTGACTTTACCGAAAGAACCAAAGAAGGCTAGGGGGGATGTTAACTACCTCGCCTGGTATGCAGGAGGTCTTGGGTTCGATGCCACGACCTGACGATGCCTGCTGCTATATATTTGGAGTTTGCGTCTCTCTCTCTCCTCGTGGTAGAATATTTTTTTTCTTTCCTCCGGGTCCTCCCGGTTTTTCCCCTCCACGTTTATAATCACGCGTTTAGAGTTGCTTGCTGCTGCTAAACATTTACGCCTGATGACGATGATGATGATGAGTCCGCTTCGTTGAGCCACCGTGTGAGCTGGCCAGGTCACTTCTAACAAAGAGCCACTTCTATGGCTCAGTGGGTCCTTGATTTGAAGCTTTCTTTACTGCAGGAATCCACACTCTCTGGTTCGTTCGGTGAAGTTACGTAGGTAGAAAAATTAAATAATACGACAAATAACATCATTTTTTTTACATATTATTTTTACGTTTTATTTTATGTTTCTGCCTACGTGACTTTACCTGGTAAAATAAAGAAAAAATATGAGTTTCAAGTTCTCACGAGCGCGTTCAATTCAAGAAATGTATGAACACTTTGCTATTTGATCTTTGATAGTATATCGCTGGCTGCGTTTAACGACTGATTTTATACTCTTTGGTTCTACGTAGTGACTTTACCGAATAGAACCAAAGAGTATGGATCCTTGCAATCACGAAAGCTTCAAATCTGGGACTGATATTTTAATGTGCAGAACTTTTTCGATTTAAAGCTTTCGTGACTGCGGGGATTCACATTCTTGGTTCTTCGGTAAAGTCACCACGTAGAAGGGAAATAATAAAATAATAAAAATAAAACAATACAATTCTCACGACGTTTCGATTGCAACACAAGCAATCAAAACGTCGTGATAATTTTGTTTTACTTTTAGAACTTTGTTATTTGTGGCGTGAAAATGTCTACTTTTGCTGGAATAAAATTTAGATTTTTTTGCGTCGCTCCATCACAGTTTTAAAGCTGGTATTGAATAAGGTAGCCACCAAGACGAAAACAAGGAGTCAGCCAAGGTCAGAATCTGGCCAGCTACAAACTGGGGGAGCATCAACACCCAGTGCTACGGACTTCAACGTTGGCCCTTGTTTACTCTGTAGCCAAATATTGTGAACTCGTGTAATGACAATAGAGACTGCATGCGGTGTGATGGGACTAGTGGCCACGGGAGGTAATGACAGGGGAGTCAGCCTGCAGTGTGAGTGGACTAGTGGCCACGGGGGGTGATGACAGGGGAGTCAGTTGTGAGTGTGAAGGGACTGGTGGCTATGGGAATGTTCGAGCAGGGAGCGTGGTCAGGAGACGGAAGAGGACGGTGGAGTCTGCCGGTAGAGCGAGCGTCCAGAGTCAGCGAGAATGATCGAAAAAGGGGGCGTGGCCTCGTGTTGATATATAAGGGGGAGATGCGCGGGGAGACTCTGGGTTGTTGCGGTGGGATCTCCGCCTGATGTCAAGTGAACGTCTCGTTCATAAAGTGCAATCTCAAGAGAAGTGTGTCAAGTCGTCGTTACAACAGTATGGACCAGAAGTAGGCACCACTCGACTTGGTGATGTACCAACTGAACACTGCATCGCGGTTTATCCCTGGAACCTTCAAGTCGACCCCAACACCCTGGTTGCCCGTGCTGTCACCCCATCTCTCCGCCACCCAAAACCCTCAGGGAAGTCCTGCGAATTGATGAAAACAGTCGCCCCGTCCCATTCACCAGGACCTCAATAACCATCCCTCGTCATCGCTTGAAGTCACGCCGCAAGCCCTTTTTGGACCCATGCGCTTAACTTAAAAAAAATGCGAATTAAACCTCTCGATGATGCTTGAAGAGCTGAATGGAGTTCGAAAGAACTCACTACCCCGCAGACTTGGAATAGGACATGGCGAGCCCCTAAGGCAGGCCCAAGAGCTCCTTTGCTCAAACTCATTCAAGTTTGTGCATTGGGGGGATCGGGGGGCATACTTAACCAATGAGAGTAGGGCGAAGTTTATGAAGATTTCACCAGACTGCCCGGTAGATGCCCTCTAGGCTCAGTGCAGAATTGCCTCAATGCCTCCGGTATTGCCCGGATGTGGCAAAGCTTTATGGTGACATCGCAATTTTTTTTTAAATGACCTTTGTGGTACAGATTTGTCCCCATCAATAAAGGAGACCCTCATGGGGATTAAGACTTCCCATGGCCACAAGACACCAACACTCTCCTCCAAACCTTAAATATCATAGCCATGAAGGATATTTTGACTCACTGGAAGAACCAAGAACCACCCACCTGGAAAGAATGGTACAATAATACCCTTATGGGGCATTATGGAATGGAACAATCTGTGGCCATGAACTCCAGAGAAAAAAAGGAGGAATTTGAGAGCCAGATGGGTCCCCCCCCCCCCATTATACAACATTTGAAATAAGTTAGTAGGCTGGAGGGTTGGGAGACAGGGACCGTAGATAGAGGGGTATAATCACCACCGATTAAACGGGAGCGGAGGGGCGGAAGGCAAAACATGTCTGTTCAGGTCGCCTCTTAAGTTTTTATTTTCTTTGTGTCAGGCGTGTTTCAGTTATATCCCTTTCTCTTTCCCTGTCATCCTCTCCCCCTTACTTAAAAAAAACTGTTTACATCTTCGGGTGGGACCCCACCGGGGTCCGTTCCCCATCCGTCTATCCCCTGCCTTGTATAACTGGCTTAGTTTATGCTGACGGGTGTGCGTACACGTGGCGTCACACAGCGCAATGTAACAGGTCAGCGCATTGCCTCAATAAAAAACAAACTCTCAAATACCTCATTGTGAAAGACCCAACACAGGTCAAACCCCTGTTTCACAAAGCTCATGGTCTACCCTAAATCATATCCAATGCACAAACCCATGGCAGCAGATGCGGATACTCGATGCACAAATTGAAAGTTAAACACTCTCCAGTGCGCGACTGTGGTCATCCGGAACAGACGGCGATAACGTATAGCGACGCAAGGCCCCGATCCACAAATATACGAAGGAAACTTCACAGCGATGCACTCCGCTGCTCCCGTTGTCGATCGCAGGGTCCTGATGTGATACATACCACCTTTAAAGTTATTTTGCAAGCTTTATTACCCAAGTGGACGAGGACACATTTTGGCCTCACACTGCATTTCCATTTGATTAATTAGGGGGGTTCTGTTATGAGTGTAGATCTCTGTTCAGGCCTATCATGGTAGCTCTATAGATGTCATCCATTTCAATGTCCTTTTCATCCATCAGCATGGGGCACATAGAGCCTCTCACTCCACTTGTTTTTTATATACGACATGGTGAGCATACGTCCATCTCTTCATGGCCAAACTATTATGGGTGCCACGGTGGCTAGATGTATACTACCTTGTCTGGTGTGCATGAGGTCGTGGGTTTTATCCCGACCCTGACTACACCTGCTGTATAATTGGAGTTTGCGTGTCTCTCTTCCCGTGGTCGCGTGGATTTTTCTCCGGGTCCTCCGGTTTTTCCATCCACATTTAGAATCAACATCATGCGTTTTGAGTATTTGGCTGCTATACATCTCCACGTGATGATAAGCCAATTCGTTGAGCTATTTGTGGCCAGCTCGCTTCTGAAGAAAATAATTATAGCTCAGTGGGACTTTACCACGTAAAATAAAAATAGTCTAGTTTAAGTTTAGTTAATTATTTCAATGAAATAAGTAACTACTGTAGCAGAAAACTGGTCAGTTCCTTGCAATTCATTTCGAGCTGTCGAGAGAACTGATTCACTCCTTACAGACGTCTTTCTTGAAAATCTTTGGTTGATAACTGTGCTACCTCACCTGCGGCTACACCTGCTGTGGGTCGCCATGTGAACCTTGAGGTTCGATGGATCAGAAAAGCCCTTCGTGCACACGGAGCACTCGTGCGGCCTCTCTCCCGTGTGGGTCATCATGTGGCTCTTCAGGGCTGTCGAGTGCCTGAAGTCCTTCTCGCACAGAGGACACTTGTGCGGCCTCTCCCCCGTGTGGACCCTCATGTGATACTTCAGCGACGTCAGGTACCCGAAGCCCCTCTTGCACACGGAGCACTTGTGCGGCTTCTCCTCGTCGTGAGTGGCCATATGATGCTTGAGGTACGACGGGAGTAAGAAACGCTTCCCGCACACGGTACACCGGTGGGGCATCTCCCCCCCCATGTGCGTCATCACGTGGTTCTTCAGTTCCGATGGGCGGACGAAACCCTTCCGGCACACGGAGCACCTGTGGAGCCACTCCCCGGTGTGACTCCTCACGTGGCCCTTGAGTTGCGTCGACTTTCTGAACTCCTTTCCACACGTCGGGCACCGGTGCGGCCTCTCGCCCGCGTGGATCATCATGTGGCCCTTGAGTGTCGACGGGCGGCTGAACCCCTTCCCGCACACCGGGCACCGGTGCGCCTTCTCTCCGGCGTGCGTGGCGGCGTGGTTTTGAAGGGTGGACAGGCGGCCGAAGCCCTTGCCGCACACGGAGCACAAGTGCGGCTTCTCTCCCGTGTGGATCATCGCGTGGGTCTTCAGCGAGAAAGGGCGGCTGAACCCCTTCCCGCACACGGAGCACACGTGGGGCCTCTCTCCCGTGTGGCTCATCGCGTGGTTCTTAAGATCCGACGGACGAACGAAGCTCTTGCCGCACACGGAGCAGCCACGCGCTCTCTCTTCGGTGTGAGCTGTTGTCGTGGTCGTCCTGGCAGTTTTTGCATGGGAGGGCGTTTTCACGCCACCGTTCGCGACCTTTCCTGTGACACAAACATTCGGACGTTAACACATATTTTTTTTTTCCCCGATTGGCGTCACGTTGTGAGACAAATCATCAATTTGGATGCCCTCGCAGAGTACTGCACCACTTTAATGTTCGAGAAAGGCCCACAAAAGCAAGTTGCTTCGCACCACCATACGTAGACAAACGACCACGGTAATCAGAGGTGCGAGTGGAAGGTCAACAAACTTAACACAACAGACAGTTCTCAAGAAATAAGTTTTCAATCTCGATGGTTTAAAAGTGCATAGCTCCAGTGGCTTCCTAATATCTTACAACCCCCTTTTAGCGCCGATTAGGTTAGCGCTCACCTCTGCAGGAATGCATCTTGAGCACTAAGCATGGTCTGCCTCTACCAGGCCTATCTACAGGGCATCGCTGGGTATAATAATCTCTAGGTTACCAGTGACATCGGTGAACGTTTTTTGCGGTTAACGTTTCACCTCCCATAGAACCCCATGGTTTCGACTTCACGTTACCAATGTTGACTGACGGTACGTTTACGCTATGCACGTGGTGGCGCCAATTTTCGCCAATCCGAGTACTCCTAAGTGGGGGCTGAGCCGTGCCCTCAGCCAATCAGCGACACTCATTTATGAGCGATTTAGACCTCGACTTGGCTTTGTTTAACATTTTACGTTTTCTGTTTTGTCAGTGGAAACAGTTCTCTTGCAGACTCTTATTTTTTAACTTATAAGTGAATTCGATTAAGAGTTATTTCTGTTAACAGCAATTTTTGTGGAACTGACTAAAAACGTTAACCGAGGGACTACTGCACTGAGAATAGATGGTACCAGCTGTAAAAGGGTTAACAGGCCTCACTCCTCATAATGACCCATACACATGGAGCTCCCCTCTACTCTATCGGTTAGATCCTCCAAAACCACCTTGATCTCCACCACGTCGACAGTTTGGAGAGGCTTCTGTACCAGACCTCACCCCTCGTAATGACCAAGACCCCACGGAGTTCCATTCCTCCCTTACCATCACCATCATCGTCGCCCACCTCCACTTCAATCTCCGCAACCCTTGATGATGCCGCACAGTCCCCCCGTGAGAATCGTGGCTCTCCAGATGCCACAGATGAACCATCGCCAACCAGCGGACCTTTAAGGTCGACCTCCACAATGTGCAGGTCCCGTCGATCGACCTGCCGCGTCTCTCGTTTGAGCTGAAGGTCTCGGCCATCGACACTCGGTTTCTCTTCTTTGATTGCCAGGTTACTCTTATCAGCCTGAACTTCCTCCTCTTTTATACGAATGTCCGTTCCTTCAGCTGAGAGGTGAACAGTGAACAGATTCACAAGCACAAACGCATGCTACACATTAAAAAAATATATATAATCTTGCACGTAAAACAATCATCTTCACTAACCTGCTTCCGTTCCTCCCTTAAAACAATCCCCATCTCTTCTCGCTAGCCCATCCTGCTACACCCTGCCCTTGACCCCCAGCTACGACCACACCCCAACCCAATTCACTACCCCTATCACTACCCCAACGCATATCACTACCCTAACCCCTATCACTACTACTTCTTTATTTGTTTTATGCCTTATTAGGCTGTCTATCGCAAACAGCGATGGCTGTGTGGAGAACAGCTCAGCAGCTAGCAGAAGCTAGAAGCAGTTCGCAACAGCGGCATCATTCTCCCTACGCGCCAGTGGGACAGGAGAGGCACCAAGCCCCTTGAGCGGGAAGCGTCAGCCTCGCACTGTGGGCAGAGAGTCGCTGCTCTCATGATCATGATCCTTCGATATCAGAAATCACCCGAGACCTACACCCTAGCCGATTGAAATCGCTCTTTCTCCACGGCGTAACGTGACCACTCTCCTTCCGTTCGCTGCCATTGTGACTTTAGTCTTGACCACAAGGCCGTCATCCTGTCTAGTAACACGTCTTGCCCAAAATCCTCTTGCTTTTCTTCAATTTATAAAACTGAACTGTTTTTATTTTGACCAGGGAAGGCCCATTGAGCTATGTATCTCTTTTTTTAGAAGCAACCTGCCCATCACAAACGATAGCTCGACCAAATTGGCTTATCATGGGGAAATTTATAGCAGCCAAATACTCTAAGCGAATGATTCTAAATGTGGTGGGAAAAAACGGAGGACCCAGATAAAAAAAAATCCACGTGACCACGGGGAGAGAGAGAGACGAGCAAACTAAAAAAATATACAGGAGTCAGTCGAGATCGAACCCACGGCCTCCTGTATACCAGGCGAGGTCGTTACTATTTCGCCACCATGGCAAAAATATGATGCTTCGAGCGTCATGTATGTTCTCGAAGAATGTACAAAGCAGTATGCAGAGATGCATGCTTGGAATTATATTGAAAGAGTCACATCAGTCACATGCACGAATCTTTCAAAATGTATTTCCAAATGTCCGAGGTGATTGCATCTCAGATTTGCACGGTTGGCTACGTAGGGTGTGAAGGAAGTTCAACACACATACATTCAAGCATCTGGATTGAAAACGAATTTCTTTAGAACTGCTTTTTGGGTTTTAGATTGTCCTTCCCCTCAGCACCACCGATTACACTACACAATACACTACACTGCATACTACACTACACTACACCGCACCTCCAATTGGGAAATGTGGCTAAGTAAGGTGCGAAAGAAGTTCAGACCATCGCCAGTCTCTATTGCAGGGTTGGGGAACCTTTTTTTCTGCCAAGGGCCATTTGGATGTTTATAACATCATTCGCGGGCCATACAAAATTCTCAACTTAAAAATTAGCCCGTTATATTTGGTCAAACATTTAATTAACTCACCCCTAATGCGATGGCTGGAACTGCTTCTCTTTGGCGAGGCGTGTGGTGATGTTAGCTGGTATTGACGATGTTGCTACTCGCAACTACTTTTCCAGGTTTGCTCCTAGATTTATTGAATTTCGAGTCCCGCCTGCGGTTGCCTTGGCAGGGCCACACCAAATGATCCCGCGGGCCTCATACGGCCTGCGGGCCGGACGTTCCCCACCCCTGGTCTATTCGGGGAGAATACTCACAGCCATTGCAGTCTTGCGTCTCCACTTTCACTGGCAGCCAAATCTTACTGCCAGGTTTCTCTTCGTCTTCGTCTTCTTCGAGCTTAATGCACGGCTCCATGAGCACAGAAGGCGGCTCTCCACTTCCACCACCTCCTCCACCACCCCCACCACCACCACCACCACCACCTCCTCGTCGTCTGCCCCAAGGAAGACGCGGCAGCGTGAGAGACTCCGGCTCCTGCAGCTGCTCCTGCTGCTGCTCACCGAGAGACGTTGCATAGTGCGGGAAGCAACAGCAAATGGCATTACCGTGTCAACCCATACGGTTTACCTGCATTCTTGTACAGGGACATTGAGTGTTTCAGGTCCGTACGGCGTACAGACGTTTAAATACGGGCAAACATGTGTTCTATTTGTGTTTCTCCCTTGTGATGGTACTTTGTGGGATGAATGTTGAGATTTATAAAGGCACGCGGTGACCAATAAGGCATTGGTCTGTAATAAGGTAGGCACTGATAGGGGGGTTAACAGGTATGAAATCACATTTGTCGTGCACGCATAACAGAGCACGACATCTTTGCGTGCAGGATAATTACAAACTATTAACTTTTTTTTTTAAGCAGTTCCACTGCTGGATTGTTTTTTTTCCGCCTGAGGACGACCGCTTGTGTTGCGATCAAAACGTCGTGATTTTTTATTTATACTGGTAGGAAACGTAGTGGACTGGAAGCCCAACCGGGATTAATTCACAGGAGGCAGGGGATTAAATGTGTATGTCTGTGGATGTCTGTCCACGTGGGAGGGGTGGGGCTGGGTGGAGAGGGGAGGGTAGGGAGGGGCTGGGTGGGGAGGGGCTGGGTGGGGAGGGGCTGGTCACCCCGTGGTTCCCTTATAAAACTCAACGTTTCACCTACTCACGCCGGCTTGTGCCCGCCCTCACAGTCGGGCATATTTGCGGAATACACCACATGGTGCCGCTGTTGACCCTGGCCATTGACCGAGCAACCCAACGTTCCTACCAGCTCCCTCCGCAGGAATGTGTTATTACCAGTCAAGGCCTTCTTTGTCAGAAGCGACATGCACATGCAAATGACAGCCCAACAAAGTGGCTTGTGACGTGGAAATTAATCATAGCAAAGTTCATTCTACACTCGTACTCATGTAGAACCAGAGACCCATACTCATGTAGAACCATAGAGACCCATACTCATGTAGAACCATAGAGACCCATACTCATGTAGAACCATGGAGACCCATACTCATGTAGAACCATAGAGACCCATACTCATGCAGAACCAGAGACCCATACTCATGTAGAACCAGAGACCCTTACTCATGTAGAACCATAGAGACCCTTACTCATGTAGAACCATAGAGACCCATACTCATGTAGAACCATAGAGACCCATACTCATGTAGAACCATAGAGACCCATACTCATGTAGAACCATAGAGACCCATACTCATGCAGAACCATAGAGACCCATACTCATGTAGAACCAGAGACCCATACTCATGTAGAACCATAGAGACCCATACTCATGTAGAACCATAGAGACCCATACTCATGTAGAACCATAGAGACCCATACTCATGTAGAACCAGAGACCCTTACTCATGTAGAACCATAGAGACCCTTACTCATGTAGAACCATAGAGACCCATACTCATGTAGAACCATAGAGACCCATACTCATGTAGAACCATAGAGACCCATACTCATGTAGAACCAGAGAGACCCATACTCACGTAGAAACAGAGACCCATACTCATGTAGAACCATAGAGACCCATACTCATGTAGAACCAGAGACCCATACTCATGCAGAACCAGAGACCCATACTCATGTAGAACCATAGAGACCCATACTCATGTAGAACCATAGAGACCCATACTCATGTAGAACCATAGAGACCCATACTCATGTAGAACCATAGAGACCCATACTCATGCAGAACCATAGAGACCCTTACTCATGTAGAACCATAGAGACCCATACTCATGTAGAACCATAGAGACACATACTCATGTAGAACCAGAGACCCATACTCATGTAGAACCATAGAGACCCATACTCATGTAGAACCATAGAGACCCATACTCATGTAGAACCAGAGACCCATACTCATGTAGAACCATAGAGACCCATACTCATGTAGAACCATAGAGACCCATACTCATGCAGAACCAGAGAGACCCATACTCACATAGAAACAGAGACCCATACTCATGTAGAACCATAGAGACCCATACTCATGTAGAACCAGAGACCCATACTCATGTAGAACCATAGAGACCCATACTCATGTAGAACCATAGAGACCCATACTCATGTAGAACCATAGAGACCCATACTCATGTAGAACCATAGAGACCCATACTCATGCAGAACCATAGAGACCCTTACTCATGTAGAACCATAGAGACCCATACTCATGTAGAACCATAGAGACACATACTCATGTAGAACCAGAGACCCATACTCATGTAGAACCATAGAGACCCATACTCATGTAGAACCATAGAGACCCAGACTCATGTAGAACCAGAGACCCATACTCATGTAGAACCATAGAGACCCATACTCATGTAGAACCATAGAGACCCATACTCATGTAGAACCATAGAGACCCTTACTCATGTAGAACCATAGAGACCCATACTCATGTAGAACCATAGAGACCCTTACTCATGTAGAACCATAGAGACCCATACACATGTAGAACCATAGAGACCCATACTCATGTAGAACCAGAGACCCATACTCATGTAGAACCATAGAGACCCTTACTCATGCAGAACCATAGAGACCCATACTCATGTAGAACCATAGAGACACATACTCATGCAGAACCAGAGACCCATACTCATGTAGAACCAGAGGCCCATACTCATGCAGAACCATAGATACCCACTCATGTAGAACCAGAGACCCATACTCATGTAGAACCATAGAGACCCATACTCATGTAGAACCACAGAGACCCATACTCATGCAGAACCATGGAGAACCATACTCATGTAGAACCATAGAGACCCATACTCATGTAGAACCATAGAGACCCATACTCATGCAGAACCATAGAGACCCATTCTCATTTAGAACCAGAGACCCATACTCATGTAGAACCATAGAGACCCATACACATGTAGAACCATAGAGACCCATACTCATGCAGAACCAGAGACCCATACTCATGTAGAACCATAGAGACCCATACTCATGCAGAACCATAGAGACCCATACTCATGTAGAACCATAGAGACCCATACTCATGTAGAACCATAGAGACCCATACTCATGCAGAACCAGAGACCCATACTCATGTAGAACCATAGAGACCCATACTCATGCAGAACCATAGAGACCCATACTCATGTAGAACCATAGAGACCCATACTCATGTAGAACCATAGAGACCCTTACTCATGTAGAACCATAGAGACCCTTACTCATGTAGAACCATAGATACCCACTCATGTAGAACCAGAGACCCATACTCATGTAGAACCATAGAGACACATACTCATGTAGAACCAGAGACCCATACTCATGTAGAACCATAGAGACCCATACTCATGTAGAACCATAGAGACCCATACTCATGTAGAACCAGAGACCCATACTCATGTAGAACCATAGAGACCCATACTCATGTAGAACCATAGAGACCCATACTCATGCAGAACCAGAGAGACCCATACTCACGTAGAAACAGAGACCCATACTCATGTAGAACCATAGAGACCCATACTCATGTAGAACCAGAGACCCATACTCATGTAGAACCATAGAGACCCATACTCATGTAGAACCATAGAGACCCATACTCATGTAGAACCATAGAGACCCATACTCATGTAGAACCATAGAGACCCATACTCATGCAGAACCATAGAGACCCTTACTCATGTAGAACCATAGAGACCCATACTCATGTAGAACCATAGAGACACATACTCATGTAGAACCAGAGACCCATACTCATGTAGAACCATAGAGACCCATACTCATGTAGAACCATAGAGACCCATACTCATGTAGAACCAGAGACCCATACTCATGTAGAACCATAGAGACCCATACTCATGTAGAACCATAGAGACCCATACTCATGTAGAACCATAGAGACCCTTACTCATGTAGAACCATAGAGACCCATACTCATGTAGAACCATAGAGACCCTTACTCATGTAGAACCATAGAGACCCATACACATGTAGAACCATAGAGACCCATACTCATGTAGAACCAGAGACCCATACTCATGTAGAACCATAGAGACCCTTACTCATGCAGAACCATGGAGAACCATACTCATGTAGAACCATAGAGACCCATACTCATGTAGAACCAGAGACCCATACTCATGTAGAACCATAGAGACCCATACACATGTAGAACCATAGAGACCCATACTCATGCAGAACCAGAGACCCATACTCATGTAGAACCATAGAGACCCATACTCATGCAGAACCATAGAGACCCATACTCATGTAGAACCATAGAGACCCATACTCATGTAGAACCATAGAGACCCATACTCATGCAGAACCAGAGACCCATACTCATGTAGAACCATAGAGACCCATACTCATGCAGAACCATAGAGACCCATACTCATGTAGAACCATAGAGACCCATACTCATGTAGAACCATAGAGACCCTTACTCATGTAGAACCATAGAGACCCTTACTCATGTAGAACCATAGATACCCACTCATGTAGAACCAGAGACCCATACTCATGTAGAACCAGAGACCCATACTCATGTAGAACCATAGAGACCCATACTCATGTAGAACCATAGAGACCCATACTCATGTAGAACCAGAGACCCATACTCATGCAGAACCATAGAGACCCATACTCATGTAGAACCATAGAGACCCATACTCATGTAGAACCAGAGACCCATACTCATGTAGAACCATAGAGACCCATACTCATGTAGAACCAGAGACCCATACTCATGCAGAACCATAGAGACCCATACTCATGTAGAACCATAGAGACCCATACTCATGTAGAACCAGAGACCCATACTCATGCAGAACCATAGAGACCCATACTCATGTAGAACCAGAGACCTACAGAGATTCGTCGAGACCCAAACTAAAATATTTAAATTTATTTTCCAGGTGCCACTTGATATGCATGCCTCTTTTGTCAGAAGCGACCGAGCCATCACAAACGATAGCAGCTCAACCATCACCACCATCATCACCACCATCACCACCATCATCACCATCACCACCATCACCACCACCATCATCATCACCATCATCACCATCACCACCATCATCACCACCTTCATCACCATCACCACCACCATCATCATCATCACCATCATCATCACCATCATCACCATCACCACCATCACCACCACCATCATCATCATCACCACCATCACCACCATCATCATCATCACCACCACCATCACCACCATCATCACCACCATCATCATCATCACCACCACCATCACCACCATCATCACCATCATCACCACCATCACCACCATCATCACCACCATCATCACCATCATCATCACCACCTTCATCACCACCATCACCACCACCACCACCATCATCACCACCATCACCACCATCATCACCACCATCACCACCACCATCACCACCACCATCATCACCACCATCATCATCACCATCACCACCATCACCACCATCACCACCATCATCACCACCACCATCACCACCACCACCATCGTCACGTGGATATTCATAGCAGCAGCCAAATCCTCGAGTTTAGTGGAGCAGCAACAAGGAGCTGGGGGAGGGCGCAGCAGGAGCAGCAGGAGGAACAGGAACAGGAGGAGGAGGAACAGCAGGAGGAGCAGCAGCAGCAAGAGAAGCAGGAGGAGGAGGCAGCAGCAGCAGGGGGAGGAGCAGCAGCAGGAGGAGGAGCAGCAGGAGGAGGAGGCAGCAGCAGGAGCAGCAGCAGGAGCAGCAGGAGCAGCAGGAGGAGGCAGCAGCAGGAGGAGCAGCAGGAGCAGCAGCAGGAGGAGGAGGCAGCAGCAACAGGGGGAGCAGCAGGAGCAGCAGCAGGAGGAGGCAGCAGCAGGAGGAGGAGGCAGCAGCAGGAGGAGGCAGCAGCAGGAGGTGGAGGAGGCAGCAGCAGCAGGAGGCAGCAGCAGCCGGCAGCCGGCAGCAGCAGCAGGGGAAGGAGGAGCAGCAGCAGGAGGCAGCAGCCAGCAGCAGCAGGGGAAGGAGGAGCAGCAGCAGCAGGCAGCAGGGGGAGGAAGCAGCAGCCAGCAGCAGGCAGCAGGCAGCAGCAGGAGGCAGCAGCAGCAGGAGGAGGCAGCAGCAGGAGGAGCAGCAGCAGCAGGTGGAGGAGGCAGCAGCAGGTGGAGGAGGCAGCAGCAGGAGGCAGCAGCAGCAGGAGGAGGCAGCAGCCAGCCAGCAGCAGCAGGGGGAGGAAGCAGCAGCCAGCAGCAGCAGCAGGAGGAGCAGCAGGCAGCAGCCAGCAGGCAGCAGCAGGAGGCAGTAGCCAGCCGGCAGCAGCAGCAGGGGGAGGAAGCAGCAGCCAGCAGCAGGCAGCAGGCAGCAGCAGGGGCAGCAGCAGGAGGCAGCAGCCAGCCGGCAGCAGCAGCAGGGGGAGGAAGCAGCAGCCAGCAGCAGGCCGATTGTTCCCGGCCTCGTGAGCTCCACAGCGAGAAGCCCCAACCTGGAGCAGCTGCAGGTGGGAGGCTGCCGGGGGCCTCCCTGCAGGCGAGACGGAGCGGCTCGTGGACGAGCGGATGGCGCCCCGGAACCAGAATAGCGGGGGGAGGTTTGGCCCTGAAACCAGCATGGGCCGTAGTCGGGGTACCCATTCGTGAACCTGGGGGGCCGTACATAAATGACGTCACGCACCTAGGGGAAGGGTCAGACATTTGTGACGATGTGTGACGATATGTGACGATGGGGGGGGTGGTTGAGAAATGTGACGTCACATCAACATGCGCAACTTTAAATAAATATGGACAACACGTCATACTTATATTCTTGGTTCTTTCGGTAAAGTCACCACGTAGAAGGGAAACAATAAAATAATGAAAATGTAAAACAATAAAATTCTCACGACGTTTCGACTGCAACACAAGCAATCATCATCACGTGTGAAAACCACACCAAGAAAATTTTGATTTAAAGCTTTCGTGACTGCAGTAATTCATATTCTTAGTTTTTTCGGTAAAGTCACGTTGAAGAGAAACAACAAAATAACAAAATATATATAAAACAATAAAAAATTCTCACGACGTTTCGACCATAACTCAAACGGTCATCATCAGGTGTGTCGGTTTGCATAAATTTATTTTGAAAACGGCATATTTATTTATATATACAAGAAAAAATTTACGTTTGCGTCACGCGCAACGATTGGCAGTTTGCCCAGGACTAGTCCATCTATTTTTTTTTAAAAGAGGAGGGGGGAGACGAAATTTGTTTTTATGTATGCTGTCTGAAAGCCACCGTAAGCGTGAACAACCAATCAAGAACCGAAATGATTTATCAAATCTTTCCAATGATTGCTAAGATAGAATCCATCTTCTCGGTTGAAATTGTCTCTGTGCTTGTATATGTGGATAGCCTCATGAACGAATCTCTCATGGAAGCCAGATGGCTTACAAAGAACCTCCGTCTTGGAAAAGTCAATGGCATGTGAGCCTACTGAATTAGAACAATGATCTGCTACGGCCGAGGTGTTGGTCCTACCGTGTTTAAGGTCTGCTTTATGTTCACGAATGCGGTCCGAGATATGGCGTTTGGTTTCTCCAATGTAACTACTACCACAGAGGCAACTTAGTTTGTAGACACCAGGGTATTGTATGTCCGGAATCACATCTTTTACAGACGGAACCAGATCACGGATTTTATGTAATGTGTTGAAACGGACCTGGATCTTGTGTTTATTCAAGATTTTGGAGATCTTTTTTGTGATCCCAGCAATGTAGGGTAAAGTGATGGTTTTGAAAGGCTCCTCAAGAGGGTTCTTCTTCATGGTTTGAGTGATAGCTTTGCGGATTGTATAGTCGGAGTAACCATTAGCCCTAAGAGCTTGGTGTACGTGCTTGAGTTCACTGCTTATGTGTTCCTGGTCGGATATGCATTGGGCTCTATGATACAGAGTCTTGATGAGATAATTCTTCTGTGATGGATGGTGGTGGGAATCCGGTTTCAGATAAGCATCCGTATGGGTAGCTTTCCTGTAGACAGAGTGGCTCATTGAACCTCAGCAAAGATGAGCGTTTTGAATTATATAAATTAAAAAAGAGGAATGATATTGTAGTTCTCTCAGCTGACAAAGGCAATGCTACTGTCATCATGGATAAAATAGAATACAACAACAAAATTAAAGAATTACTTGACGATGGTAGTTATACAAAAATAAAAAGAGATCCCACCAACAGCCTCGTCACACAAACCAACAAAATAATTTCTGATTCAACCGCATTAATTGATCAATCTAAACAGTTTTCGTTGAAACCTTCTGCTGCCAGGCCCCCAAGATTATACGGCTTACCAAAAATACATAAAGTTGATACACCTCTTCGTCCCATAGTCTCTACTATCAGCTCCCCCACCTACAAACTAGCTCGTTTTTTGTCTGAAATCCTGCGTCCTTTCACTGGAAAGACCACCTCTGCGGTACAAAATTCTACTCACCTGGTATCAACAATCAAGGGTATTTCCCTGTCCCCAGACGACCTGCTTGTCAGTTTTGATGTAGTTTCCTTATTCACCAAGGTTCCTGTACCTGACACCATTGCAATCATTGAAGACTTGGTTCATCAAGGACTAAACACTGAGGTACCCCCCCTGGTGAGACACTGTTTAACCAATACATACTTCACTTGGAATGGAACTTTCTACAAACAAACTGAGGGCACCCCAATGGGCTCCCCCCTTTCTCCAGTTATAGCTAACATTTTCATGGAGAAATTTGAGACTGACGCCATCCAGACTGCCACTCTGCGCCCAACCTTATGGAAGAGGTACGTGGATGACACTTTTGTCATCTGGCCACATGGCCGGCCTGCTCTAGACCAATTCTTCGACCACATCAATTCCATACACCCAGCCATCAGATTTACCATGGAAGTCGAAATAGATGGCAAGATACCTTTTTTGGATGTCCTAATTAAAAAGAGACCTGATGGTTCAATGAGCCACTCTGTCTACAGGAAAGCTACCCATACGGATGCTTATCTGAAACCGGATTCCCACCACCATCCATCACAGAAGAATTCTCTCATCAAGACTCTGTATCATAGAGCCCAATGCATATCCGACCAGGAACACATAAGCAGTGAACTCAAGCACGTACACCAAGCTCTTAGGGCTAATGGTTACTCCGACTATACAATCCGCAAAGCTATCACTCAAACCATGAAGAAGAACCCTCTTGAGGAGCCTTTCAAAACCATCACTTTACCCTACATTGCTGGGATCACAAAAAAGATCTCCAAAATCTTGAATAAACACAAGATCCAGGTCCGTTTCAACACATTACATAAAATCCGTGATCTGGTTCCGTCTGTAAAAGATGTGATTCCGGACATACAATACCCTGGTGTCTACAAACTAAGTTGCCTCTGTGGTAGTAGTTACATTGGAGAAACCAAACGCCATATCTCGGACCGCATTCGTGAACATAAAGCAGACCTTAAACACGGTAGGACCAACACCTCGGCCGTAGCAGATCATTGTTCTAATTCAGTAGGCTCACATGCCATTGACTTTTCCAAGACGGAGGTTCTTTGTAAGCCATCTGGCTTCCATGAGAGATTCGTTCATGAGGCTATCCACATATACAAACACAGAGACAATTTCAACCGAGAAGATGGATTCTATCTTAGCAATCATTGGAAAGATTTGATAAATCATTTCAGTTCTTGATTGATTGTTCACGCTTACAGTGCCTTTCAGACAGCATACATAAAAACAAATTTCGTCTCCCCCCTCCTCTTTTCAAAAAGTAGGTGGACTAGTCCTGGCAAACTGCCATCGTTGCGCGTGACGCAAACGTTATTTTTATATATATAAATAAATATGCCGTTTTCAAAATAAATTTATGCAAACCGACACACCTGATGATGACCGTTTGAGTTATGGTCGAAACGTCGTGAGAATTTTTTATTGTTTTATATATATTTTGTTATTTTGTTGTTTCTCTTCAACGTGACTTTACCGAAAAAACTAAGAATATGAATAAGGCCAATTTTGTTTCAAATTTTCTTGGTGTGGTTTTCACACGTGATGATGATTGCTTGTGTTGCAGTCGAAACGTCGTGAGAATTTTATTGTTGTATCTTTTTATTATTTTATTGTTTCCCTTCTACGCGGTGACTTTACCGAAAGAACCAAGAATATGAATCCCTGCAGTCACGAAAGCTTTCAATCAACACGTTCTACTTAATTAAATAGACTTGTTAATAAATGTTTTCTCCTACAACATCAGAGTGCAGCGCCACATTAAATACGCACTACAATGTGACAATAGTTTAAAGCGATGTGAAGCATGTTTTATATATTTTTGGGGGGGGGGGGGGCAGAGCTTTGTGACGTCATATTTTAGGGGGGGGGTCTGACTTTGCGTCACGACGTGTGACGAAGGGGGGGGGGTCAAAAATCGTCCAAAATCACGTGACGTCATTTATGGACGGCCCCTTATGGCGTGACCCCGGGGTCCCCCATAAGCCCCCGGCTCTCGCATATAAACTGCGTTTTGCGACGTCATGTTAAGTCAAACCACGTGAAAGAAATCTAACTAAACTTGCGTCGAAGGCCCCGGGGGGACAGGCGTCTGTGACGTCTCTTGGCGAAACCATGACTGTTGACCCCCTTCTCCCTCCTCAGCCCGCCCCTGTTCAGGACTTAGTGACGCACTGCAATTCAACGGTTTACTTAGTACTTAATGAACTAGCCCCACTGAAATCGAGAGTAGTATCTTTCAAATGCTCTGCACGATGGTACAATGCTACTGTGCGCTCATTGAAAGCAGCAGGCCGGTGTCTAGAACGGCCTTGGAGGAAAACTGGCCTCACTATTCATGTTTAGGCTCTGGCCAGCCATCATTGTGCATACAGACCTGCACTCACCACAGATAATCACACCTACTTCAGCAATGTCATTTAGAGAGGTCACAGTAACCCAAAATTCATCTTCTCAGTTGCCAACAATCTCATTCGCTTCTCTACCATCTCCACTATTGAGGATTGCAACACACATCTAAATTTCTGCCATCAGAAAATTAAGTACATCAACGACATTCTCCCTCCTCCCATTCTGAATCTTAGCTCCCTCCCTCTTTGCCACGCCATGCTAGCACATTTCACACGAATTCCACGGCCGTTTATGATCTGATTTCTGTAATGAAACCCATTAACCGTCGACTGAACCCTATTCCTACGACACTACTCAAATCATGCCCCGCTCTTTTCAGCCCTGCTCTTGCAACAATTTTAACACATCCCTTAACATAGCTACTGTTCATGTTTCCCTGAAAATGCCTCAGTTACCCCTTCCCCTCAATAAAGCTGGTCTTGACCCTGAACGTCCTAATAATGTCAGACCAATCTCCAAACTGCCCTATCTGCCCAAAGTACTTGAGTGTTTTGTCTCCACCCAGCGCCAAAACGATCTGGTCACTAATGACATGCCTGAACCTTTTCAATCTGGGTTCAGAGCCCGCTATAGCTGTGAAACAGCCCTCGTCCGTGTCACTAATGACCTCATAGCTGCCGATTCTGAATTCATAAGTATTCTGATCCTGCCCGATCTAAGTGCTGCGTCTCACACTGTTAATCGCATAGGTCTTCTGTCTAGATTGGAGAACATTCTTGGAATCTCTGGTTCTGCCCTCCATTGGTTCAAGTCGTATCTCAGCGATGAGCTTGGCTTTCGCTAATTTATCCACACCTGAAGAAGGACGCTTGTGTTGCGCCCGAAACGTCGTGATTTAATTTATTTTAATTTTTTACCTACGTGACTTTACCGAAAAAACCAAAGAGTATGAATCCTTGCAGTCACGAAAACTTCAAATCTAGAATTCAAGCTTGTCTGAGCTTATTTTAGTTGGGATGAAGGCCCTTCTACGGAAGGTCGTCTCATTTTCACTCACCCTAGGCGACGACATCATTGCAATCTCACCCACTGTCAGAAATATTGGCATCATCTTCGATTCCTCCCTCAACTATGAGTCCCACATTAACCAGATAAAAGGTGTCATTATGCCACCTCCGCATCATCTCCCACATCCGATCACTTCTCTCCCTCTCTGATGCCGAGAAGCGTATCCACTCCTTCAGTACCTTGATGACTGTAACTCATCACTTGCCGTTGCTCCCGCCAATCTCCTCTCACAGCTTCAACTCATTCAAAATGCCGCAGCCAGAGTCCTCAACCGCATCGACAGCAAAGAACACATCACCTCCTGTTTGATGCACCCTACGCTGGCTCCGCGCAAAATCTAGGATTGACTACAGTCGACCCTTCTGCATCGCGACTTTCCCCATCGCGATTTCGATATATCGCGGGGTCGGCACAAGAAATAAAATGGGAATTTTTTGGGAGTTTTGTGCAAGCCGCAGACAACACGCGAAGGCCAGCAGATGACACACACAAAGTTTCGTAACTCATAAATGCAGAAAATATATGCACATGACTGTATAATATTATTGCATTTTATCTTTCAATACCATAAATATACACCAATTTTTTTTAAGTTACATTTTGCAAAAAGTTCAAGTTTGCTAAAAGAATGCGAAAGCCAGCAGATGACACGCAAAGGCTGGAAATAATAGAGATAACTTAAAAAGTTTAGTAATTCATAAACGCAGAAAATATATGTATTTTATTGTTTAATACCATAAATATACGCAATTTTTTTCAAGTAAATTTTTTTATACTCTTTGGTTCTTCCCTGCATCAATGTTTTCCTGCGTCAGCAGTTCTCCTGCTGTGTTTGTCTCACCTGATGACGGTTGCTTGTGTTGCGATCGAAACGTCACGTGATCCATTCATTTTCTACCCACGTGACTTCACCGAAAGAACCAAAGAGCGTGGATTCCTACAGTCACGAAAGCTTCAAATCGAGCAAAATTTTGTCAAACGTTAGTTTACTAAAAGAACTGCGGTTTTACGCGCTCACAGAGCCCCCCCCCGCCCCCCACTCCAAACCCCCCGGCTGGAGGTGCTCGCTTCGCTTGCCAAGGGGACCAAGGCGACCAAACATTTTTACGCGTTTTTTCCGGATCACGGGGGGTCTGCACCCCTACTAACCCCCGCGATGTGGAAGGGTCGACTGTACATGGGTTTGCACCTGGCTACATCCTCCCAACTCCTTAACTCTTACACCCCGGCCAACGCCCTACGATCCTCTGACACCCATAAACTTAATAATATAATAATAGGGGTTTTCCCCCTTTTTATGGCAACAAAACTGAAACCTTTTTTTACGAGGATTCATGTTTACTGCATTAACCACAATACCTGCAGTCAAAATGCAAACAAAAGACATACTATGATAATATGATGATGCATTGTCCTTGAAACTGATTGGTCCACACCAAGGGACGGCTTTCTTTTGAGCCTCGTCATCTGGTCGAGCACCAATTGGGTCATTTTGGTACTGGCAAACGAGGTCTAATGACCCATAAACTTGTTGTGCCTCCCACCAACCTCCGCTCCATGGGTGATAGGGGGCCTTGTTCTCAGTTGCCGCTAGGCTATGGAACACACTGCCCATTGAGATCAGATCCGCTGAGTGAATCTCCGCCTTGAAATCTCAATTAGAAACGCATCTATTTAGGTCGTATAATCTTAAATTTTGATTTAAAGCTTTCGTGACTGCAGTAATTCATATTCTTAGTTCTTTCGGTAAAGTCACGTTGAAGGGAAACAACAAAATAATAAAATATAGGGAAACAACAAATAAAATATATATTTTATTTGTTGTTTCCCTTCAACGTGACTTTACCGAAAGAAATAAGAATATGAATATCTTATAATCTTGTTTGAATTCCCTCCTCTATTCACCCACCTTGTATATCCCGTCCCTTCAATGCTCTCTGTGATGCTGCTCTTATGCTCTATACGTACGCCTTTTGCTTTTTTTCATACAATAGGTTTTTTTTAGCATGTGTAATATTGAATACGGGTTACTGTGCAGTGCTTTGAGCGTGGGAAAAGCGCTACGTAAATAAAGCAATGCATTATACACACATTTTCAATTTTGAAAAACGATTTAGTCATCATCCGGCGTATTTTGAACGTCCAGTGACCCTTCCCCCCCCCGAAAGTCGCCGGATAATCGATTGGTCTGCCGTAATTAAAGTTGTGAATCTGCTCAATAAGGTGCGCTTTGGGGCGGCCGATCACAGCGATGCCTCGGCCAACCACGAGCGTTTGACAACCGAGTAGCCACGCGTAATATTGCAATGGCGTACCCCGTTTGGCCAATCACCGTATCCCGTTTCGCGTAAACCGCGGTTTCAAATCTCCGGCCGTGTTCAAGAACCCACGCCACCAGCGGGCGCATAAAGCGCGTGTCGTGCAGCAGTGGAGAGACCCTGGATGATGATGTCGACGGTGCATTAGATGGGGGGGTGGGCTAGGGTAGTGAGGCATTCATCCAGCAGTGGAGAGACCCTGGATGATGATGTCGACGGTGCATTAGATGGGGGTGGGTGGTGGGGGGCTAGGGTAGTGAGACATTCATCCAGCAGTGTAGAGACCCTGGATGATGGGTTGACTTGCTACCCAACCGGAAGTTGTCTCGTTACTCCACCGGAAGGTGCCCCAACCTCACCGGAAGTTGCCTCGTAACTCCACCGGAAGTTGCATCGTTACCTCACCGGAAGTTGTCTCGTTACCCCCCAACCGGAAGTCGCTCCACCGGACGTTGCCTAGTTACCCCCCACACCGGAAGTTGTCTTCACAGTTGGGCGACAGCTGCGCTACCGCCTCTCGGTGCAGAAGCGGCGGAGTGGATTCGCTTTTCTCTCTCTGTGTGGCCCTCTCCTCGCTCTCTCTCCCCCACACTCTCTCTCTCCCCCACACACTCTCTCTCTCCCACACATCCACTCTCTCTCCTCTCTCCCACACATCCACTCTCTCTCTCCTCTCTCCCCCACACATCCACCCTCTCTGTGTGGCCCTCTCCTCGCTCTCTCTCCCCCACACACCCACACACTCTCTCTCCCCCACACACACACTCTCTCCTCTCTCCCACACACCCACACTCTCTCTCCCCCACACACCCACACTCTCTCTCTCCCCCACACACCCACTCTCTCTCTCTCCCACACACCCACACTCTCTCTCTCCCCCACACACCCACACTCTCTCTCCTCTCTCCCACACACCCACACTCTCTCTCCCCCACACACCCACACTCTCTCTCTCCCCCACACACCCACTCTCTCTCTCCCCCACACACCCACTCTCTCTCTCCCCCACACACCCACACTCTCTCTCTCCCCCACACACTCTCTCTCCCCCACACACTCTCTCCCCCACACACCCACTCTCTCTCTCCCACACACACCCACACTCTCTCTCCCCCACACACCCACACTCTCTCTCTCTCTCCTCTCCCACACACACCCACACTCTCTCTCTCCCCCACACACCCACACTCTCTCTCCCCCCACACACCCACACACTCTCTCCTCTCTCCCACACACCCACACTCTCTCTCTCCCCCACACACCCACACTATCTCTCTCCTCTCTCCCCCACACTATCTCTCTCCCACACACCCACACTCTCTCTCTCCTCTCGCTTCTCACTCTCTCTGTGTGGCCCTCTCATCTCGCTATCCAAGCTCCCTCTCCTCTCGCTCTCCCCTCACCCACACTCTCTCCCTCTCGTCGTCTCCTCTCGCTGGCTCGCAGTTCAAAGGTTTACACACTCGGGAAGTTTTCTAGCTTTCGAACCGAACACAGCAGCAACAACCACCACAACAACAACCACAACAACAACCACAACAACAACAACCACCATCCACCTCTCCCAATGGACGCGAGAAAATCGGCGATTCCCGGGAGCGTCCTCAACGATTTGTGCAGGTGAGACGTGCACACAGCAGCCACTGTATACCACACTGCATACTGTACTACACACACACATGTACCACACTGGTGACACTACACATACTGTACACACGTGCACCACACTGTATACCACACTGCATACTGTACTACACACACACATGTACCACACTGGTGACACTACACATACTGTACACACGTGTACCACACTATACCACACTGCATACTGTACTATACACACACATGTACCACACTGGTGACACTACACATACTGTACACACGTGCACAACACTGTATACCACACTGCATACTGTACTACACACACACATGTACCACACTGGTGACACTACACATACTGTACACACGTGTACCACACTATACCACACTGCATACTGTACTATACACACACATGTACCACACTGGTGACACTACACATACTGTACACACGTGCACAACACTGTATACCACACTGCATACTGTACTACACACACACACATGTACCACACTGGTGACACTACACATACTGTACACACGTGCACCACACTGTATACCACACTGCATACTGTACTACACACACATGTACCACACTGGTGACACTACACATACTGTACACACGTGCACCACACTGTATACCACACTACAGCCACTATACCACACTGCATACTGTACTACACACACACATGTACCACACTGGTGACACTACACACACTATACACACGTGTACCATACTGTATACCACGCTGCACACTGTACTATACACATGTACCACACTGGTGACACTACACATACTGTACACACGTGCACCACACTGTATACCACACTGCGTACTGTACTACACACAAATGTACCACACTAGTGACACTACACATACTATACACACGTGTACCACACTGTATACCACACTGCATATTGTACTATACACACATGTACTGCACTGGTGACACTACACATACTGTACACACGTGCACCACACTGTATACCACACTGCATACTGTACTACACACACACATGTACCACACTGGTAACACTACACATACTGTACACACGTGCACCACACTGTATACCACACTGCATACTGTACTATAGACACACATGTACCACACTGGTGACACTACACATACTGTACACACGTGCACCACACTGTATACCACACTGCATACTGTACTATACACACACATGTACCACACTGGTGACACTTCACACACTATACACACGTGTACCATACTGTATACCACGCTGCACACTGTACTATATACACATACACGTGTACCACACTGGTGACACTACACATACTATACACACGTGTACCACACTATACCACACTGCATACTGTACTATACACACACATGTACCACACTGGTGACACTACACACACTATACACACGTGTACCATACTGTATACCACGCTGCACACTGTACTATATATACACACACGTGTACCACACTGGTGACACCACACATACTATACACACGTGTACCACACTGTATACCACACTGCATACTGTACTATACACACACACACATGTACCACACCAGATGCTACACATACTAAACACACGTATACCACACTGCATATGCACACTGCATACCGTACACACACGTGTACCACACTGCATACTATAGACACACACACACACGTGTCCCACACTGCATATACACTGAATACTTTACACACGTCTACTACACTACTGCAAATACACACTGCATACCATACACACGTATACTATACTGCATATACACGCTGCCTACTATACACACACACGTGTGGCACACTGCAGATACACGCAACATACTATACATACACGTGTACCACACCACATGTACACACTGCATACCATACACACACGTGTACTATACTGCATATACACACTGCCTACTATACACACACGTGTACACCACACTGCATATACTCACTGCAGACTATACACACGCGCACGTGTACCACACTGCATATACACACTGGAGACTATACACACACGTGTACTACTGAAGACTATACACACACACACGTACCACTGCAGACTACACGTGTACCACACTGCATATACACACTGGAGACTATACACACACACACGTGTACTACTGAAGACTATACACACACACGTGTACTACTGAAGACTATATACACACACACACACGTACCACTGCAGACTACACGTGTACCACACTGCATATACACACTGAAGACTATACACACACGTGTACTACTGAAGACTGTACACACACACACATGTACCACTGCAGACTACACGTGTACCACACTGCAGATACACACTCTCCTGACTATTTGTAAAACCAGCTACCCTTTAACAATCCTGGTTCTACATCGCCTGCACCTTGTACACACGAGCACCTATCTGACCTCCGCTGCCGCGCGTGAGCTCGTCTCTAATGTCTCGTGTGGACGTGTGTGTGCGCGTGTTTGTATGTGTGTGTGTGCGCGTGTTTGTATGTGTGTGTGTGTATGTGTGTGTGCGCGTGTTTGTATGTGTGTGTGTGCGCGCGCCGCGTTTTTCCCTGCAGCCGCTTTATCCTGCACGTGCCGAGTGAGGAGCGAGAGGCCCCGGTGCGACTCTGCTTTCAGGTCAGTGTGAATCCCTTGTGGTCGAATCCCTACGGTCGAATCCCTACGGTCGAATTCCTACGGTTGAATCCCTACGGCTAGATCCCTATGGTGGAATCCCTATGGTGGAATCCCTACAGTTGAGTCCCTACGGCTAATCCCTACGGTCGAATCCCTACGGTTGAATCCCTACGGTCGAATCCCTACGGTTGAATCCCTACGGCTAAATCCCTACGGTCGAATCTTTATGGCTAAATCCCTACGGTCGAATCTCTACGGTTGAATCCCTACGGTTGAATCCCTACGGCTAAATCCCTATGGTCGAATCTCTACGGTTGAATCCCTACGGTCGAATCCCTACGGTCGAATCCCTACGGTTGAGTCCCTACGGCTAAATCCCTACGGCTAAATCCCTACGGCTAAATCCCTACAGTCGAATCCCTACGGTCGAAGCCCTACAGTCGAATCCCTACGGTCAATTCCCTACGGTCGAATCCCTACGGTCGAAGCCCTACGGTCGAATCCCTACGGTCGATTCCCTACGGTTGCGTGCAACCGAATATCCCCCGGGTGGTGATATTTAAGCAGCACACGAGATACTCATTTGAGGCCGAGTCGACCTTGACGAGGCCCACGACCGGGATCACTCTTTACCATGCGGATGGCCAGGGTCTCCCTCTCGCGTGAAGTCCAAGTAAAACCAGTGGGCCAGTTCGACCTCCACACGGCTGGGTCACAGGCCTCGTGCGTGGCGTGTGGACATCTCGGCAACCGATTGCGCGCGGTTGCGCAACCGGTTGCTCGTTAGTACGTGCGTGTGTGTCTGCGTTGAACCCCTGTCGCACCGTACGTAGCGAACCGCGCTAAGTGGAGGTGCGGGGGAAGGGCAACGGACTAAACACAGCAACAAGTAGTTGTAGATAAATGAGTTCTCAATGTAGTATCATGATGTAGTGTATAGTACTGTCATGTATAGTAGTGTAGTGTATAGTAGTGTTGTGTATAGTGTAGTGTATAGTGTATAGTAGTGTTGTGTATAGTGTAGTGTATAGTAGTGTTGTGTATAGTGTAGTGTATAGTAGTGTGGTGTATAGGAGTGTGGTGTATAGGAGTGTGGTGTATTGTAGTGTATCGTAGTGTAGTGTATCGTATTGTAGGATATAGTATAGTGTATAGTGGTGTAGTGTATATTAGTGTAGTGTATTGTTGGATATATAGGCCTTTTCCAAAATTGATATCAATAAGAATATTTGTCGATATATTTTTTTTAATAGTAACCGAAATAATAAATGAAAACACAAACCAGACTCGCATCAAACAACAGATGGAGATCGTAAAAAGGCCATAAAAAATATAAATAAATAATGAACTCCGGGGCAAAGGACGGTTAACGGTTATCTGCGAAATCTCCAGATAAACTCCGGGGTCACCAAAAGGGGAGGGGAAATTCCAAGCCGTGAGTTCACCCCCCCTCCGTCAGTGCAGACCACCGACGCATACAAGCTGTTTAAGCAATTTTCCTCTTGCTACTATTAAAACATCGGTTAAAAAGTTCAAAATTCAAGAATAAGCTAACATTATCGATCCTCACACTCACTCCGATTAAAAACCAAGCCACAATCTACATCAGTGAATCATTACCCATTCATTAATTCGACACGAAATGTTATTTTCACCCTTAATACTAACAATGTTACATTACAAATCTTGGTTAAACATAAAACCAAATGATATTTGAGCGACGTTAAACCGAGGGCTAGCCAGAGAGAGAAAGAGAACCTCCCGGCCGCCTTTGTCTTCCCGCAGCGCGGGAGAACAGGAATTTAACACCAGAGCGAGGAAATTGCTTGTTGTTGCAAAGAGGGAGCCATCTGTACCCCACGGATGAAGGGGATACCTTGGGGAGGGGACGGTGATCAATGGGGGGATGCAGATGTCTTAATAGGATGACACACACACACACACGGACGCACACACACACACACAGGCCACGCCCCCCCACTGCGCAGAGCGGAGATTTTTTTTTCGAATGTAACCGCTCAACCAGCATCTCGACAGACCAGTTAAACAAGGCACAGCGAGTTCAACAAGGCAGATCAGCTCAGGAGCTACCGAATGGGGCGGCGAGCGGCAGGCCCGGGGTGGTGGCCCCGCGATCAACTGAGAATGGCGAGGCTCGCCGAGTAGCAATGTATCAACGAGTGCGAGTTCAGAGCTGAAAGGCAAAGTATCGCTCGGAGACTTTTATTTCTACATCGAGGGTCAGCTTCCAGCTGCAGCGTGACCTTGCGCCACCAAGCAAGAGCGTCTGCTGCCAGCGGCCGAGCGTGTGCCGACTTGGCTCATCCAGCAGCGGAAAGAGCCTGACCTGCCGCCAATGAGCAAAAAGGGTCAGCGAACCAGCAAGAGCGCCTGCTGCCGGCGGCCGAGCGTGTGCCGACTTGGCTCATCCAGCAGCGGAAAGAGCCTGACCAGCCGCCCGTGAGTCGAGAGTGTCGGCGCCAGCGAGAGCGCCGCGGGTTCGACCCACACTCACGCCGACCGGCACCGGCTGGGAACCATGACAAGAGTGAGGAACGGCGACCAGCGGACGGGCTGCTGGGGGCGCTATCTGACGATGGGATCATCGCGCACCGACGGCGAGCGTCGTGCCGACTCTTCCAGCCAGCTGTGGACAGAACCTGTGGCCGCCCGTGTGAAAGAGGGAGTGCCATGCTGTCCGTATGATACGGAAAAAAGACAAAGATCCCCCGTGTAGCCGTAACAGACTGTAGGGGCAAGTGCTGTTAGCTAGCGAACACCTATGAAGGCCGGAACGGTACACGAGGGGGTGGGTGGCCAGCACCACGCCCGACCGCCTTTGTCTCCCTAGTGGCGATATTTACACACCGCACCAGGTACTCATTTGAGGCTGAGTCGACCTAGGGGAGGCCCGGGACCGGTTCAGATAATCGTCACTGCTGTTGGCCGTGAGCGGGAATCGAACCCGTATGATACACACACCCTCACACCCCCACCGCTCCGCAGGGAACAAACACATTTTTGATACAAGGGATGCCCAACATTGACGTCTGCTTTTCGCAAAGAATTGAACAAGTGGCAAAGAAGACCCATAACACGCATATCGGGACAAATAAGATTGTTCCAAAAAGTTATCTTTGGGTTTCAACAAGGGTTGCCATTCCCAGGTGGTGCATTAAATATCAACTGATCCGTGAAGAACATTGCTGCCATTGAGTTACGTGGATAAGGTCATTTAGAAGCAACTCAGTCATACGTTTTTTTGTTTGTTTTCTTTTTAATGGCATAAGCTTGCCAACGAATCCATTTACGTATACTTTTGCCTTTGGGGAATAATAATTGTTTGATTGCCTTTTCGTATGAATATCGTTGCATAATCTTAAGGACCTTTCGCTCCTAATTGTCGTACCGGCTCGGGTTACTCTGCATAATAATCAATGGTTCTGTTGCCCTGTTAACAACGTGACAAGAATTGCATTGAGGGTTGCACATGAATTCATGAATGAGCACAGTACTGTGTGGCCAATTTCAAGTATACGAATTTGCATATGATAGGGTTAAGATTTTTGTGTAGAATAGCATGAATGTTTTAACGACTCTCTCTCTCACCAACTGAGCTCGCGTTACGCAGTGGAATTAATCACATGTGCCGTCACCAAAGTAAAACAACTCAATCGCTGATGGTTACTGTGTTGGTACTGTATTGATAACTCCAAGCCGAGAGTTGCATCTTCTAGAGTTAAGGTTTCGTTAGAAAATAAAATTGATTAACGCAGAAGTGGTTGCGTGTTTCTTTCATGTTCCAAGCATAATAATCTTGTTTACAAGAACTGTATTCTGCGTTGAGATCTGAATTCGGAGACCTAACATAAACACACTAATACACTCAGTAAATGTTAAAGCGAGAATAATTGTATTGCCGAGTGTTAATACGAAATTAAACAACGAAGCGGAGCTTAATCTAACATACTTACAGCACACCTGCATAATTTCATACGATTAATTGCATGATCCCGATTGATAATCCGACCCTCGTCCGAGGCGGGGCCTGATTATCATAACGGCTTGCATTAGCATAATCACACACACTCGCATAATTTAATCGGATTATCTCTCGAATCAGCATAATTTATGCGCATAATTACATCAATTGACACAATTTCGGATCATTACGTAATTTTCCAAAATTCTTTTAATTTTTTATTATTTTCATCAAATTTTCATAACTGACACATACAACAGTATAGTGTAGTGTATACCCATCCGAAAGTGCCGCGCGATGCTGGGGACAAACTTTGTGCGATGGCTGAGCCAAAAAGCCGCCGCCGCTGCTGCTGCCGCGGGGATGAGTGGAGTTCGCGTGACGATGGTTTAACGCTCCTTGGCAAGATCAGCAGCAAAGGTGTTGCTGTGGTGGTCCATTTGTGGGCGGGCGCTTTGTGTGTATCTCGAATGAGAGCGACCTTATAATGACGCCGCATTCGTTCGGGCAAACCGGAAGCCAACGCGTCTGGGCTAACGCTGGGAAGGATGGCGGGCGTCGGAAGGGTTTGCGGACGATTTGAGCCGCACGAGACCTCGTGGCGATTTGGTGGCGGAGCCGCCTGTGCGGTGCGTCGGGGGGGCGAGCGCGGCTAACGCTAAGGCGATCCAAGACCAAAGCAGGAGCAGCGGCAGGAGGAGGATTTATCCACAATTCCGGCCGTCGCCTGACGATGCTGGTTGTTGTGGTAGTAACCGGCGAAACATCACGGTTTACTCAAATTGTAAATGTGTGCTTGGGCTCTACACCCATTTAAAACCTTTTAAAACAATCTGCCTCAGCAGCAGACCATGCTCTCCCACCTGATGACGGATGCTTGTGTTGCGCCCGAAACGTCGTGATTGATTTTATTTTATACCTACGTGACTTTACCGGAAGAACCAAAGAGTATGGATTCCTGCAGTCACGAAAGCTTCAAATCAAGATTGTGTGCTGTGGGTTCACTCTCCCAAAAACAAACAACCGGATTGTTCTGAACTAGTCACTAATTGGCATGTCTCAAATAACGTAACAAAAACTTGACTATTGGCTGAGTCCGGTGGTAGTGGCAGGGTTTAACGACACATTTATATTTACGCGATCTACCCAACTTAAACCTCTGTTGTGGCTAGGAGATGTTAACTGCCTCGCCTGGTATACAGGAGGGCGTGATTTCAATCCTGACCCCGCTGACGCCTGCCTGCTGTATATTTGAAATTTGCACGATCTGCCTGTGGTTGCGTGCTGATTTAAGCACTGGAGTCAATGCATTGTGAGTTACGGCTGGGTCGGGAGTTTCGTTCGTACCAGTTACAGTCGACACAATTCAAACCTGAACTGTTTTTATTTTACCAGGTGATGCCCCCACTGAGCTTTGTAGCTCTTTTTTTGAAGCGTCAACGGAGGGCAGAGGAGCGACGCTCAAAACAATGAGCGGAGCGCCGGGCGGCTAAAACGCAGCAAGTTGGCACGGTCGGAGGCACAGCTGGTACATCTGCCGGTCGTCTCAGTCAGTCGACCCATGGCACCACATGTGATAGCCTCAAAGTGCACCTGGCCTGGCACAAGCACCTTGGTGGCGTCACCACCAGTTAGTGGCGAATGGCAGCTTTTGTTGTTGTTGTGTGTGTGTATACACTTTGTGTGTGAGTATTGTGTGTGAGTACTGTGTGTGTATATATACACTGTGTGTGTAAATATATACACCGTGTTTGTGTGTATGTACTGTGTGTATACACTGTATGTGTACGCTTTGTGTGTATACACTTTGTGTGTGAGTACTGTGTGTATACACTGTGTTTGTGTGTGTATACTGTTTGTGTATCCACCATTTTTGCTGACTGTGTATGCTACGTATGTTATCTGTGTACCTGCGTGTTCGTGCATGCTGTGTGTAGATCGAACTGGCCCACTGGTTTTACTTGGACTTCACGCGAGAGGGAGACACCAGCCTGCCGCTGCTCAGCCTCACAGACTTCGCCCGCGCTGATATCCTCTCGCTGCCGTCACCACGCAGTCACTCAGTCACTAGACAGAGCGAGTGTCTCACACAGTCACTCACAGTCACTAGACAGAGCGAGTGTCTCACACAGGCACTCACAGTCACTAGACAGAGCGAGTGTCTCGCACTGTCACAGTCACTAGACAGAGCGAGTGTCTCACACAGTCACTCACAGTCCCTAGACAGAGCGAGTGTGAGTGTCTCACACAGTCACTCACAGTCACTAGACAGAGCGAGTGTCTCACACAGTCACTAACAGTCACTAGACAGAGCGAGTGTCTCACACAGTCACTCACAGTCACTAAACAGAGCGAGTGTGAGTGTCTCACACAGTCACTCACAGTCACTAGACAAAGCGAGTGTCTCACACAGTCACTCACAGTCACTAGACAGAGCGAGTGTGAGTGTCTCACACAGTCACTCACAGTCACTAGGCAGAGCGAGTGTCTCACACAGTCACTCACAGTCACTAGACAAAGCGAGTGTCTCACACAGTCACTCACAGTCACTAGACAGAGCGAGTGTGAGTGTCTCACACAGTCACTCACAGTCACTAGACAGAGCGAGTGTCTCACACAGTCACTCACAGTCACTAGACAGAGCGAGTGTCTCACACAGTCACTCACAGTCACTAGACAGAGCGAGTGTGAGTGTCTCACACGGTCACTCACAGTCACTAGACAAAGCGAGTGTCTCGCACTTGTCACTCACAGTCACTAGACAGAGCGAGTGTCTCACACAGTCACTCGACAGAGCGAGTGTCTCACACAGTCACAGTGACTAGACAGAGCGAGTGTGAGTGTCTCACACAGTCACTCACAGTCACTAGACAGAGCGAGTGTGAGTGGCTCTCACAGTCACTCACAGTCACTAGACACAGCGAGTGTCTCACACAGTCACTCACAGTTACTAGACAGAGCGAGTGTGAGTGGCTCTCACAGTCATTCACAGTCACTAGACACAGCGAGTGTCTCACACAGTCACTCACAGTCACTAGACAGAGCGAGTGTTAGTGGCTCTCACAGTCACTATACAGAGCGAGTGTGAGTGTCTCACACAGTCACTCACAGTCACTAGACAGAGCGAGTGTTAGTGGCTCTCACAGTCACTATACAGAGCGAGTGTCTCATACAGTGACACAGTCACTAGACAGAACAAGTGTGAGTGGCTCTCACAGTGACAGTCACTAGACAGAGCGAGTGTGAGTGGCTCTCACAGTCATTCACAGTCACTAGACACAGCGAGTGTCTCACACAGTGACAGTCACTAGACAGAGCGAGTGTGAGTGTCTCACACAGTGACAGTCACTAGACAGAGCGAGTGTGAGTGTCTCACACAGTGACAGTCACTAGACAGAGCGAGTGTGAGTGTCTCATACAGTGACACAGTCACTAGACAGAGCGAGTGTGAGTGTCTCACACAGTGACACAGTCACTAGACAGAGCGAGTGTGGGTGTCTCACACGGTCGCAGTCTGTGGTGATGCGGCCCAACGACGGCTCGTTCGCCGCTCCTGGCAGGGTTCGCTGTCCAAGCCCCAGCGGCCGCCCTCGTCAAGCCTCTCCCGTTAGGATGCCGTACGCTGGCGATGGCTGCTGTCCCCAATGCTGGTGTCATGTCAGTGTTGCTGTTTTTCAGTGTTGCTGATGCTGTTGCTAACGTTATTGCCGTTACGTGAGCGCTGCTCTTGCTGGTGCGTGTGTTGGCGATGATGATGATGATGCCGCTGCTTCTGAGAGTGTCACTGATGCACCACCATTACGTCACTGCTGCGGCTGCTGCGGCTTGCATTGATGGCGTCGCCACCGCCGTCGTCATTTCGGTTGCTGTCCGGCCTCTCCTCCGTATTTCTGTCGCCGCGTCGTCGTCGTTGTCTCCTTGACGCTCCGGCCGCCCGCCGCCCCCTCCACTCTTCGCCCACTGCCCCTTCCTGCTGGGCGGCAACGAGGACGTCGCCTCGGTGCTGCAGGATTGGAAGGAGTACAAGATGGGGGTGCCCACCTACGGCGCCATCATCCTGGACCCCAGCCTGCAGCACGTGAGAGGGCGGGGCAGCAAGCAAACGCACGCACGCACACACACATACACACATACACACACACACATACACACATACATACATATACACATACATACACACATACATACATATACACATACACACATACACACACACATACACACACACACATACACACATACACGCACGCATACACACATACACACATACATACACACATACATACATACACGCATACACACATACACATACACACAATACACACACATACACGCATACACACATACACACACATACACACATACACACATACACGCATACACGCATACACACATACACACATACACACACATACACACATACACACATATACGCACGCACGCATACACACATACACACACACATACACACACACATACATACACACATATACACATACACACATACACACACACATACACACATACACACATACACGCATACACACATACACACACACATACACACATACACACACACATACACGCATACACACATACACGCATACATACATACACACATACACACACATACACACATACACACACACATACACACATACACACACACACATACACACATACACACGCATACACACATACACACGCATACACGCATACACGCATACATGCATACACGCATACACGCATGCACACACGCACGCACACACGCATACACACATACACACATACACGCACACACACATACACGCATACACACATACACGCACACACACATACACACACGCATACACACATACACACATACATACATACACGCATACACACATACACACATACACACACACACATACACACACGCATACACACATACACACATACACACACATACACACATACACGCATACACACATACACGCATACACACATACACACACGCATACACACATACACACATACACACACATACACACATACACGCATACACACATACACACATACACGCATACACACATACACGCATACACACATACACACATACACGCACGCATACACACATACACACATGCACATACACACATACACACACGCACACACACACATACACGCATACACGCATACACACATACACACATACACGCACGCATACACACATACACACACGCACACACACACATACACACATACACGCATACACGCACGCATACACACATACACACATACACGCATACACACATGCACGCATACACGCACGCATACACACATACACGCACGCATACACACATACACACATACATACACACATACACACATACATACACGCATACACACATACACACATACACATACACACAATACACACACATACACGCATACACACACACACACATACACGCATACACACATACACACACATACACACACGCATACACACATATACACATACACACATACATACATACACGCATACACACATACACACATACACACACACACATACACACACGCATACACACATACACACACATACACACATACACGCATACACACATACACGCATACACACATACACACACGCATACACACATACACACATACACACATACACGCATACACACATACACGCACGCATACACACATACACACATACACACATGCACACACACATACACACATACACACACGCACACACACACATACACGCATACACGCATACACACATACACGCACGCATACACACATACACACATACACACACGCACACACACACATACACACATACACGCATACACGCACGCATACACACATACACACATACACGCATACACACATGCACGCATGCACGCACGCATACACACATACACGCACGCATACACGCATACACACATACACGCATACACGCAAACACGCATGCATACACGCACGCATACACGCATGCATACACACACACGCACGCATACACGCACGCATACACGCACGAATACACGCACGCACACACGCACGCACACACGTACGCACGCATACACGCACACACACACACACGCATACACGCACGCATATACGCACACATGCACGCGCGCACTCATACCTGTGAACCCGTACAGGTTTACTCCATATTCTTGTACAGGGAAATTGAGTTTTCAGGTCCACACGGCGTATGGCCATTTCAATATGGGCAAAAACATTTAGTTTTGTCTATGTGTTTGTGTTTCTCCCTTGTGATGGGACTTTATAGGATGAACGTTGAGATTTATAAGGGGCACGGGGTGACCGATGAGGTCTGAATTGGTCTGTGATAACGTAGGCACTGATAAGGGATTGACATGTATGTAGTTGTGTAGTGCATAGTGTAGTGTATAGTAGCACACCTGTCAACCCATACGTGCATACACCGTGTGTCTGTGTGTATACAGCGTGTGTGTGTGTGTGTATACACCGTGCGTGTGTGTGTGTATATATGTACACCGTGTGTGTGTGTATATATGTACACCGTGTGTGTGTGTATATGTACACTGTGTGTGTGTGTATATATGTACATCGTGTGTGTGTGTATATGTACACCGTGTGTGTGTGTATATGTACACCGTGTGTGTATATGTACACTGTGTGTGTGTATATGTACACTGTGTGTGTGTATATGTACACCGTGCGTGTGTGTGTATGTACACCGTGCATGTTTGTGTGTGTATGTACACCGTGTGTGTGTAAATCAGGTGCTGCTGGTGCAGGGCTATCTGGCCAAGTCTACGTGGGGTTTCCCCAAGGGGAAGGTGAACGAGGATGAAGCTCCTCACGACTGCGCCGTGCGAGAGGTACCCCAGTACACATCGACGCTACTTGGGATGACCACAGTCATCATCATCGTCTTGAGCAATGATCAATTCCATAGCTGTCAACCCATACGGTTTACCCCGTATTCATGTCCGTACGGCGTACAGCCATTTCAATACGGGCAAAAATAAAACGTCTATTTGTTTGTGTGTTTCCCTTTGTGATGGGACTTTGTAGGATGAACGTTGAGATTTATAAGGGGCACGGGGTGACCAATAAGGTCTGAATTGGTCTCTAATAAGGTAGGGCACTGATAAGGGATTGACAGGTATGTAGTAGTGTAGTGTAAGTAGTGTAGTGTATAGTAATGTAGTGTATAGTAGCATACTTGTCAACCCACATGGTTTTACCCCGTATTTTTGTATATGGAAATTGAGTTTTCTGGTCCATACGGCGTTACAGCCGTTTGTGATGGGACTTTGTAGAATGAACGTTGAGATTTATAAGGGGCACGGGGTGACCGATAAGGTCTGAATTGGTCTGTAATAAGGTAGGGGGCACTGTTAAGGGGTTAAGAGGTGTGAAGTCCGCTGCTGGATGAAGGCCTTCCAAAGGCGTCGCTATCTCTAAACTAAAACTAATCTTTTTTATTATTATACCAAGGTAAGGCGCCGCTGTTTTGTCAGAAGCGAACCTAGCCACCGCAAATGATAGCTCAACGAAGTGGGGCTCATATGATCATCGCCGTGTGGAAATTTATAGCAGCGGAAAAATACAGGGAGGGAGGAACCGGAGGACCCGGAGACAAATTCGCACAACCACGAGTAGAGAGAGAGAGGGAGACACACAAACTCCAAATATACAGCCAGACGTAAAAGTTGGGTTTGAAGCCACAACCTCCTGCGTACCTGGTGAGGGAGGTAACATCTCCTAGCCACCATGGCGCCCAGCTATAGAAAGACACACGCATCGACACTTAACCCCTTATGCACTCGCATCCCTTTGGTTCTTTCGGTAAAGTCACGTAAGTATAAAATAAAATAAATCACGACGTTTCGGGGCGCAACACAAGCGTCCGTCATCAGGTGGGACAACCACAGCAAGAAACAATTGCTCGAGTGGGCAAAAGGGCCGCTGTAACAAGAGGCTATGTAGGTAAGAGAGGGGGGAGGAGCCAGGGAGGAGAGATAGAGAGGAGGGTGCGGGGTAGGGGGAGTGTAGTGCTGCTCACTAGAGGGATTAAGGAGCGAGCAAGAACCCTTATACACTCACATCTCTAGATATTAATACTTTGTACACATCTCAATGTTCACGTCTACGCACACTTGCGTGGGTTGCGGTGGTGTGGCGGTTAGCGCGCTGCACCACAAACCCAGCGACCCGAGTTCGATTCCGGTTCACGGCCAACACCAGTGACGGCGATTATCTGAACCGGTCCTGGGCCTCCCCTAGGTCGACTCAACGTCAAATCAGTACCCGTTGCGGTGTGTAGTAAACAACGACAGTGGGGAGACAAAGGCGGCCGGGCGTGGTGTTGGCGACCCACCCCTTGTGTTACTAATGCTACTACTTGTGTTACTGCTGCTGCCACTACTACTTGTGCTACCGCTGCTGCCACTACTACTTGTGCTACTGCTGCTACTGCTGCTACTTGTGCTACTGCTGCTGCCACTACTACTTGTGCTACTGCTGCTACTTGTGCTACTGCTGCTTACTTGTGCTACTGCTGCTGCCACTACTACTTGTGGTACTGCTACTACTTGTGCTACCGCTGCTGCCACTACTACTTGTGGTACTGCTGCTACTGCTGCTACTTGTGCTACTGCTGCTGCCACTACTACTTGTGGTACTGCTGCTACTTGTGCTACTGCTGCTGCCACTACTACTTGTGGTACTGCTGCTACTTGTGCTACTGCTGCTGCCACTACTACATGTGTTACTGCTGCTGTCACTACTACTTGTGGTACTGCTGCTACTTGTGCTACTGCTGCTGCCACTACTACTTGTGGTACTGCTGCTTACTTGTGCTACTGCTGCTGCCACTACTACTTGTGCTACTGCTGCTCCCTCAGTTGAGCGGCTGCACTCAGCCGGCCGCCGCCCTCCGTTGCGTGCTCAGGTGCTGGAGGAGACCGGCTTCGATATCCGCGACCGCATCGACCTGCGGGAGTTCATCGAACTGCGCGTCAACGAGCAGCTGGTGCGTCTCTACATCATCCCCGGGGTGCCCAGGGACACCGCCTTCACCCCGCGCACGCGCAAGGAGATCCGGGTGAGGGACCTTTGGACGAAGCCTGCGGATTGACTGACGGGGCCGGAGAGCTGTAAACTAAATCGTCACCGGCTGCTGCAGTTGTTCGATGCATCGCTGTGTGGGCTGTGATGCATTTGTTGGTTTTTTGACTCTCTCCCAACGCACGGTTTAGTGCGCTGATTTGGGTGAACTAAGTGTGGCACGTGACAGAACCTTGACGAATTGTCCGTGTCGGGTGGTGGTGGGTTTAACGACACACGTTCATATTTTATGCGATCTAACCACCCCCCCCCCCCCCCCCCCCCCCCCAAAGAAGTAAACCTCTGTTATGGATAATATTGGTCGCGAAATGCTACCTACTACGTGTTAAACTAAAACTATATATTTGTTTACCAGGTTCAGTCCCTCCACATTTAGAATCGACATCATTCGGTTAGATTCTTTTGTTATCTTGCTGCTATAAATGTCCGCACCACGACGATGATGAACCCGCTTGTGTTGAGCTATTATTTGTGATTGCTAGGCCGCTTCTGACATAAAGAAGCTACATAGCTCAGTGGGCTTTACATGTTACGATAAAAACTAGTTTAGTTGTACAGGTAGTCCCCGAGTTACTATGGTCCGACTTGAAAAAAGTGGCGGTTATTTTTTTCAAATTTTCTTTTTGTGGTTTTCACACCTGATGACGATTGCTTGTGCTGCAGTCGAAACGTCGTGAGATTTTTATTGTTTTATATTTTTATTATTTTATTGTTTCCCTTCTACGTGACTTTACCGAAAGAACCAAGAATATGAATCCCTGCAGTCACGAAAGCTTTAAATCAAAATTTAAATTGTCACCTCCTCATGTGCCGCATTGCCGGCCTTCATAGGTGCTGCTTCTCGCTCCTATCAGCACCTGCCGCAACAGTCTGTTATGGCTACATTGGGGATCTTTGTCCACTTTCCTCGGTCTGACAAATCAGAGTAGGTTTTTACCCTTTCTGGCACTAAAACAGGAGTTGTGTTAAGATGTTCAAACACCAAATAGATTAAACCTTTTTGCAAGGAATCAAGTCTCTGCCTTAACCACACATTACTTGTAGCTAAACATGCAAACAAGCATGCTCTGATAATACTCTTTGGTTCTTTCGGTAAAGTCACGTAGGTAAAAATAAAGTTAATCAAATCACGACGTTTCGGAGGCAACACAAATAGCTCTCTCTCTACTTGTCACAGGAATTTAGCTGTGACTGTTGCCGCCCGATGACGGAGCTTGTGTTGCCTCCGAAACGTCGTGATTTGATTAACTTTATGTTCTATTTTTACCCTACGTGACTTGACCGAAAGAACCAAAGAGTATGGATCACTGCAGTCACGAAAACTTCAAATCTAGAATGCTCTGATGGTGCACGCGTTGTCTTTGAAACTGATTGGCCTAAGCCAGAGACAGCCTTCTTCATGGCCAGTGTTCGACCAGAGAACGAAAGAATCAAAGAGTATGGATCATTGCAGTCACGAAAACTTCAAATCTAGAATGCTCTGATGATACACGCATTGTCTTTGAAACTGATTGGCCTAAGCCAGAGACAGCCTTCTTCATGGCCAGTGTTCGACCAGAGAACGAAATAACCAAAGAGTATGGATCACTGCAGTCACGAAAACTTCAAATCTAGAATGCTCTGATGATACACGCATTGTCTTTGAAACTGATTGGCCTAAGCCAGAGACAGCCTTCTTCATGGCCAGTGTTCGACCAGAGAACGAAAGAACCAAAGAGTATGGATCACTGCAGTCACGAAAACTTCAAATCTAGAATGCTCTGATGATACACGCATTGTCTTTGAAACTGATTGGCCTAAGCCAGAGACAGCCTTCTTCATGGCCAGTGTTCAAGTTTTCAAGTTTCATTTATTAGGTATAGCTCTGTGAGCCATGCGGCTCTTAAGTCGGGTGCAACCGCAACAAACAAAAGCAAAACAGCACAAAAACAATGCAAGTATCTGAGCGCTTATACCTCGGGTCGAGCGGTTGAAGCTATGGGATACTTTTTTTTTGCCAGTATAAAAAATGATGGAAAAATATGGTGAAAAACCTGTTCATATTTTTCCTCAGCAGCTAGCCACAATTACTCATGGCAGTAACGCAGCCTTGCATCTCTCGCGGCATTTGGTATGAATGAAGTCCCTGATAGACTCTTCCCCCAGAGCATTAAGGTTGTGGGGGGCAGGGGAGGAGGGGAAGCTCGCAGTCGGTTGACTCTTCGACCAGGTCCAGCGTTTGGAGCACGTCCCTCTACAACAGGGGTGGGGAACATCGGGCCCGCGGGACGTATAAAGCCCGCGAAATCATTTGGTGTGGCCCTGCCAAGGCAACCGCAGGCGGGACTCGAAATTCAATAAATCTAGGAGCAAACCTGGAAAAGCAGTTGCGAGTAGCAACATCATCAATACCAGCTAACATCATCAATACCAGCTAACATCATCAATACCAGCTAACATCATCAATACCAGCTAACATCATCAATACCAGCTAACATCATCAATACCGGCTAACATCACCACACGCCTCACCAAAGAGAAGCAGTTCCAGCCATCGCATTAGGGGTGAGTTAATTAAATGTTTGACCAAATATAACGGGCTAATTTTTAAGTTGATAATTATGTATGGCCCGCGAATGATGGCCCTTGGCAGAAAAAAAGTTCCCCACCCCTGCTCTAGGATCTCAAACTCGGCAGTGCGGCGGCGGCGTTTTCTCAAAACTCGCTCGGCCGATGGGAACGTTTGCGCGAGTCCACCCAGCTCACTAAAACGCATTCAGCGATCTTTCTCGCAAGCAGCAGCGCGGTGAGGTCCCCTCGGTTGAACGTTTTGTAATCCGAACCCACACGAAAAACCAACGTTAGCCGAAGCAACCTGTTCGTCGAATTCACTTATACAGTTGAAACATGAGTAAAATAAGTAACAAAACAAGGTAACAAAAACTCAATGAGGTCTGCACAACAAGAGAGAGAGAGAGAGATATTTCCACCACCCAAAAACAGAAAAGGTATAATGTTAAACAAAGCCAAGTCGAGGGCTAAACCCGCTCGTAAATGGGACTTCGTTGATTGGCTGAAGGCGTGGCTCAGCCCCCCACTTACGAGCACCTCTGATTGGCCGAAATTGGCGCCACCGTGTGCACGCATATAACGTTGACCCATTAACCGTTATGTCAACGTTTGTAACGTTCAGTCGAAACCACGGGCGGCGGGTCACTATGGGAGGCGAAACGTTAACCACAAAAAACTGTTAAGCGATGATGTCACTGTTAACCGTGTGACTAACTAACTTCCCTGACCCCGTGCCCCGACTGGACATCTGTGAACAAAGAGCTTCACATCTCATTGATTCCTCCCCCTGCAGTCTAAATACAGATTCTGACAAAGATTCTGATTCTGACAAAACACAGTGACTTTCCTCACTCTCTCAATAACCACCACTGCTAAATGATTCATATTAACGGACCGTTACAAAAAATGTTTTCTTTAAATGCAGCTGTAAGTTTTTTTTGGTTTTTGAGAGGCGGCATTTAGATTTTAGGGTTAGGGTAGTTTAACCCGGGGTAGTTTACCTAACATGTAGTAGGGATTTTGCGACTAATATCCATAATTGAGGTTATTTTTTGGTGTTAGATTCCCTAAATCTAAGTGCGTCGTTTAACCCGCCACCACCACCCAACACAGCCGATCAGTAAGGGGGTTTGTCACGTGAACAAAACGCGGCCAATTAGTTTACTAGTTCAGCACGAAACCCGTTGTGTGCTGGAGAGTAAACCCACAGCACACATTTACAATTCGAGTAGCCGTGACGTTTCGGCGGTAATTACAGCAACAACAACCGGCTTCATCAGGCGACAGCACCAGTTGTGGATAAATCCTCCTTCTGTTTCAGTGGAGTATGTGGGGAGCGCTGGCACAGCGGTTAGCACTGGGCTACGCTACGAACCCGGCGACGCAAGTTTGATTCCCGCTCTTGGCCACCACCACCGGTGACGATTATAAATTATTTGAACCATTCCCGGGCCTACCCTAGGCTGACTCAGCCTCAAATGAGTACCTGGTACGGTGTGTTGCAAGCAAGAATTTCATCATCGCTTGCAGCTGGGGTTGGCATCGTCTCCCCCCCCCTCTTCCTGGTGCCGAGGGAAAATGAGCGAGGTTTAGGACTGGAGCTCATGCAGCTGCAGTGGCTGCTTTTTGGGTACACGGTCCAAACCTCCCCCGGACCCTGGCTGATGGAGGAGTTGTTGCGGCTGGATGAGAAACAGCGACAGGCCCACTTCCACCGTCTACAGCATCCCACGTCGGAAAATGATGAGGCTTACCACAGCCTTCGCTCGAAGGTTCGGAGAGGCATGCGGCACTGCAAAGATGGGTGGTGGTCGCGGGTTGTTGAGGAGATGGAGTCTTTCTCAGTATACCGCGATCACAAATCCCTCTTTAACTCCATAAAAAAGTACCTTGCAACACCACACCTATCACCATCATGAGGGGAAAGAAAGGTGATCAGATCTCCGACCCCCAGGAAGAGGTTTGCAGATCTGAGAATTTCTGTGAGGTCTTGGGGGATGGGGAAATCCCTCAGCCTGGAAGACATCATGGGGCAAAGTGGGGATGACCCTAGTGAGGCTGCTGTGCCTCAAATAATGGAGGAAGTAGTCACCCCCTATGAGTGGCTGGTTGAAGTGCCATTTGTTGAGGAATTACAGAAGGTGATCCAGAGTCTGAGACCAGCAAAAGCAGTGGGCAGAGATTTTCTCCCAAACGAATGCTGAGGGTGGCGTTTGTGCGCAGACTGCCCTATATGACATCATAAGAACAGTCTGGACCACTCGACGGGTTCCGCAGGACTGGAAGGATGCCCTGGTTGTTCCCTTCTTTAAGAAGGGGGACCACACAGACTTTGACACCTACAGGGGCATCTCCCTCAGTGTGTTTGGAAAGGTACTGGAAAGGATTATTCAACATCGCCTTGCCAGGCATGCTGAAGAGATGCTTGTGGAGACCCATTGTAGTTTTAGACCAGGGCGGTCGATTACAGATACCATATTTTATGTTTGTCTGCTTCAGCAGAGGTGTAGGGAATTCCCACATGACCTACATCTCTGCTTTATTGACCTGGTCCAGACCTATGATGCCATCAATAGGCCTGGTATCTGGGTTGTTCTTGGTGCTTTCAGAGTGCCTGAATCTCTGCTCACAATCATTAAGGACTTTCATGATGGTGGGCAGACCCAGGTAAAACTACATGGCTGGGAATCCGAGCCATTCCCTGTTAACCTTGTGGTGCGACAGGGATGTCTTCTGGCTCCCACATTATTTAACATATTTTTCGACCACGTAGTTCGTGAAGCCTTCTATGGCTGTACCGGAGCAATCTCCATCTGGTACAGATACATTGGGAGGCTGATCGATGCCTGGGTGTGGTCAAGGGATGGCTCCCTCTTGGTCAACCATGTAATGTCTACATTCTTGGATAAAGTCACGTAGATAGGTTCAAAGAAAATAACAAAACAATACTATAGTTTTTTGTTATTTTCACGTGACTTTACATGACTTTTCCAAAAGACCCAAGAATATGAATTCCTGCAGTCACGAAAGCTTTAAGTCAACACGTAATGTCTGCTGATGATGGCGATTGTTGCTCACTAAGTGGAGGAGTTGGAGGTGCTGCTGCTAAACCTGGAACATGCCACTAAGAGGTGGGGCCTTACCATCAGCCCCTCCAAAACTAAGCGCCTGCCTGGGTATTTTGTGCCATCAAACACTCCTCCCATCAATTCCTCATTGGTGATGGGGCAGTTGTGGAGAGAGTTCAGAGTTTTCCATACCTGTGCAGTGTGCTTATGACCAGCTCCGGTTTTACAGCAGGGGTCTCACTCTGAATCAGTCGAGCGGCAATATCTTTTCTTCGGCTTCGTAACGCTGTGTAGAAGCTACCTGGTCTCTCGCTCCACACGAAGCATTGGGTCTTCTTGGCCACGGTCGTGCGGCACGGGCTAGAGAAGAGATGGAGTGATGTGCTACAAGAGGATGTGGAGCTGCGTGGACTTGCCGATGACTGGTACCAGCGGTGTCAAGATCGGCCTATGTGGAGGAGGCTCGTGAAGGACGCTACTGGGCAGTCAGAGGCAGCCGCCCTCCAGCAACAATGGAGGGCAGAGGAGCCCTGCTCACAACAACGAGCGAAGCGCCGGGTGGCTAAAACACAGCAGGTTGGCACAGTAGGGGGCACAGGTGTTGCATCGGCCAGTCATCTCAGTCAGTCGACCCATGGCACCTGGGTCTGTCCCGTGACCTCCTGTCCGCGGGCGTTCGACACGTCACGTGGCCTTGAAGTGCACTTAGTCTGGCACAAGCGCTGTGGTGACGTCACCGCCACTTCCTGGCGAATGGCGGTTGTTGTTGTGTGCCTGTGTGTGTGTGTTTACGTTTGTCGCAGATCTCATCTCGTGCGCTGTGGTGTCGCCACATCGTGTCACTCCCCTCCCTCCCCCTGCTATCCCCTCTCTCTCCCCATACACACGCACACTTGCACGCACACCGATACACACTGATACACACTGATACACACACTTACACACCGATACGCGCACACACACACACACGCACCGATATACGTGTTCGCACCAATACACGCAGAGCATCGAGTGGTTCCTCATCGAGGACCTCCCCTCGCACCGGAACGACGTGACGGCCAAGACTCGCACCGGCCTGGGCCCCAACAAGTTCTTCATGACCATCCCCTTCATAAAGTCGGTGCACACGCACACACACACGCAGCGCACACACACACACACACGCAGCGTACGCACACACACACACGCAGCGTACGCACACACACACACGCAGCGTACGCACACACACACACACACACGCAGCGTACGCACACACACACACACACACGCAGCGCACACACGCACACACACACGCAGTGCACACACACACACACACGCAGCGCACACACACACACACGCACACACACACGCAGTGCACACGCACACACACACGCAGCGCGCACACACACACACGCAGCGTACGCACACATGCACACGCACACACACACGCAGCGCGCACACACACACACACGCAGCGCGCACACACACACACGCAGCGTACGCACACACGCACACGCAGCGCACACGCACACGCAGCGCACACACACACGCACGCGCACACACACGCACGCACGCGCACACACACACGCATGCGCACACACACACACAGCGCACATGCACACACGCGCACACGCACACACACACGCAGCGCACACACACGCGCAGCGCACGCGCACACACACACGCAGTGCACACACACACGCAGCGCACACGCAGCGCACGCGCACACACGCAGCGCACACGCACACACGCAGCGCACACGCACACATGCGCACACACACACGCAGCGCACACGCACACACACACACGCAGCGCACACTCATGCACACACATACACGAAGCGCACACGCATGCACACACACGCAGCGCACATGCACGCACACGTAGCACACACATTAAGCGCACACACAGCCCACACCCACATACGTGACACACACGTAACACACACAGCGCACACGCACGCACACGTAGTGCACACACAGCACGCACACACACACGTAGTGCACACACAGCACGCACACACGCAGCACACACGCACACACAGCACGCACACACACACGCAGCGCACACACACAGCACGCACACATATAGCACACACACGCGTAGCACACACGCAGCACACACGCACACAAAGCGCACGCGCACACACATGTAGTGCACACACGTAGCGCACACACATGTAGCGCACACACACATGTAGCGCACACACACGTAGCGCACACGCACGTACACGCGAAGCACACATGCGTAGCACTCGCTCGTATATCATACACGTATAGCACGCATAGCACGCATGGACGCATAGCATGCACACACATAGCACACACACACACATAGCACACACACATATAGCACACACGCGAGTATAGCACACATGCACGTAGCGCACATGCGTATATAGTACATATGCATACATAGCACGCACGCATAGCACACACACACACACATGTAGCGCACACAGACAACTCGCATGCATATAGCACACGCCTAGCACACACGCGCACGCACACGCGTAGCACACTCACGTGTAGCGCACACGCACGCGTGACGCACATGCACGTACCACACGCACATGCACGCAGCACACACACGCACACGCACACACAACACACACACATTGCACACACAAAACACATAGCACACACGCGTAGGGCACACGTAGTAGCACAGACGCACGCACACAGCGTAGCACGCACACAGCGCAGCACACACACAGCGTAGCACACACACAGCGTAGCACACACACAGCATAGCACACACACAGCATAGCACACACACAGCGCAACACACACACACAGCGTAGCACACACACAGCGCAGCACACACACAGCATAGCACACACACAGCGCAGCACACACACACAGCGTAGCACACACACAGCGTAGCACACACACAGCGTAGCACACACAGCGTAGCACACACACAAGCGTAGCACACACACAGCGTAGCACACACACAGCGTAGCACACACACAGCGTAGCACACACACAGCGTAGCACACACACAGCGTAGCACACACACAGCGCAACACACACACAGCGTAGCACACACACAGCGTAGCACACACACAGCGTAGCACACACACAGCGTAGCACACACACAGCGTAGCACACACACAGCGTAGCACACACACAAGCGTAGCACACACACACAGCGCAACACACACACAGCGCAACACACACACAGCGTAGCACACACACAGCGTAGCACACACACAGCGCAACACACACACAGCGTAGCACACACACAGCGTAGCACACACACAGCATAGCACACACACACAGCGTAGCACACACACAAGCGTAGCACACACACAGCGTAGCACACACACACAGCGTAGCACACACACAAGCGTAGCACACACACACAGCGTAGCACACACACAAGCGTAGCACGCACACAAGCGTAGCACACACACACAGCGTAGCACACACACAGCGTAGCACACACACAGCGTAGCACACACACACAGCGTAGCACACACACAAGCGTAGCACGCACACACAGCGTAGCACACACACACAGCGTAGCACACACACAGCGTAGCACACACACAGCGCAACACACACACAGCGTAGCACACACACAGCGTAGCACACACACAGCATAGCACACACACACAGCGTAGCACACACACAAGCGTAGCACACACACAGCGCAGCACACACACACAGCGCAGCACACACACAGCGCACACGCGCTGGTGTTGACGGTGAGCAGGAACCGAACTCGGGGCTGATGGGTTCACAGCGCAGCGTGCGTGCCTGTGCTCGAAGCACCGCCACCGCTCCCCACCCACACACGCGCACACCTGTTGTCAACCCCTTGCAATGCAGGAGGTCGTGGGTTCGATCCCGAATCTGACGCCTGCCGCATATTTCGAGTTTGCGCGTCTCTCTCTCTCTCTCTCTGTCTCCCCGTGCTCACGTGGATTTTTTTCCTCCGGGCCCTCCGGTTTTTCCCAGAATCAACGACACAACGCATTTAGAGCATTTGGCTGCTATGAGTATCCACCAGATGACGAGCCCACTTCGTTGAGCTATCATTACGTGGGAGAGAGGTCGCCTCTGAAAATGAGTCAGACAGCTCAGTGGGGCCTTACCTGGTCAAATAAACACAGTTTTGTGATGTGTCGCGTGTCTCGCCCGTGTCTCACTGTGTCCCCGTGTCTCCCCATGTCTCACTATGTCCCGTGTATCTCCCTGTGTCGCCCGTTTCTCCCCCGTTCCTCCCCCATGTCTCCCCGTGTCCCCCCGTGTCTCCCCGTGTCTCTCCCGTGTCTCCCCCGTGTCTCCCCCGTGTTTCCCCGTGTCTCCCCCGTGTCTCCCCCGTGTCTCCCCCGTGTCTCCCCCGTGTCTCCCCCGTGTCTCCCCCGTGTCTCCCCGTGTCCCCCTCGTTCCCCCCCCCCCCCCGTGTCTCCCCCACGTCTGCCCCGTTTCTCCGCGTCTGCCACGCGTCTCCCCCGTGTCTCCCCGTGTCTCCCTGTGTCTCCTATGTCTCCCCCGTGTCTCCCCCATGTCTCCCCCATGTCTCTCCGTGTCTACCCCGTGTCTCTCCCGTGTCTCCCCGTGTCCCCCCCGTCCCCCCCCCCCGTGTCTCCCCCACGTCTGCCCCGTTTCTCCGCGTCTGCCACGCGTCTCCCCCGTTTCTCCCCGTGTCTCCCCCGTGTCTCCCCCGTGTCTCCCCGTGTCTCCCCCGTGTCTCTCCCGTGTCTCCCCGTGTCTCCCGTGTCTCCCTGTGTCTCCTGTGTCTCCCCTGTGTCTCCCCGTTTCTCCCCGTGTCTGTATCCGTGTCTCCCTGCGTCACCCCGTGATTCAAGGGGCCCTTACCTGGCTGTGTCTCTTTTTGTGGATGGGTGAATTTTGGTTGCGAGGCCGGGGCTGACCCTGTCGATGAGAATTTACAGCAGGGCAACGATAAACGGTAACTCAGCGATGATTATCGTCACAACCTTGATTCCTTGCAAAAGGTATCTAATTTGGTGTTTGAACATCCTCACAAAACTCCTGTTTTATTATTGCCAGAAAGGGTAATGAAACCCATTATTATCTTTCATACTTTGACACTGGCAAAATATCCCGCGACACGTATGTGATATTCTGCTGTGACTGTTCCACCTGAAGACGGAAGCTTGTGTTGCCTCCGAAACGTCGTGATTTAATTGTTCTATTTTATTTTACCTACGTGACTTTACCGAAAAAAACATAAATTATTAATCCTTGCAGTCAAGAAAGCTTAAAATCTAGAACGTATGTGTCTATTCATAATAAAGGTTTTTGGATTAGATCGCGTTATTTATAAATGTGTCGTAACCCTCCACCACCCGTTGTAACCCTCCACCACCCGACACGGCCAAACAGTAAAAAATGTATATTCTTAGTTCTTTCGGTAAAGTCACGTTGAAGGGAAACAACAAAATAATAAAATATATATAAAACAATACAAATTCTCACGACGTTTCGACCATAACACAAAACCAACACACCTGAAAACGACCGTTTGTGTTACGGTCGAAACGGCGTGAGAATTTTTATTGTTTTATATATATTTTATTATTTTGTTGTTTCCCTTCAACGTGACTTTACCAAAAGAACTAAGAATATGAATTACTGCAGTCACGAAAGCTTTAAATAAAAAGTAAAAAATGTGTCACGTTTACAAAGGACAAAGTAATTCACTACTTTAGCCCACCGGTGCGTTGAAGAGTGAATCAACATCATTTACAATTTGAGTACTGTGACGTTTCGCTGGTAATTACATCCAGCATCATCGGGCAATTTGCCAGAATGGTGAGGGGCTCTCCCCTTGCTCCCGGTCTTAAATAACCCAAAAACCTTTATTATCAATAATATTGGTGGCGAAAGCCTGCGTGTTAAACTGTGCGTGTCGATCTATGCACGTTGAACTTCTTTCGCGCCGTACGGAGGCAGCCGCCGTCGATCAACTCGGCGGAGCCGTTCGGCTGCGCGAGCATCGAGCTCTCACCTTCACCTTCAGGATCTCGTTGAACTCATTCTGGGTTTGTTGAATGAAATATCTCTGCTGCCGCTGCTTCGACATCAGCTTGGGTTCCCACTGCCGCCTGAGAGACGTGGAGACACAATAAGACAACAGAGACAAAGATTACCCTCCCCCCCTCCCACCCCGCGCCGTATAGCCTGTAACAAGCTGTTGAGGCGAGTGCTGTTAGTAGTGAGTAGCAGCAGCAGCAGCAGCGCCTATGAAGGCCGGCACTGTGGTGCATGAGGGGGTGACGACATTTACTACACACCACTGTACCAGGTCATAGTTTGAGGCTGAGTCGACCTAGGGGAGGCCCAGAACCGCTTCAGATAATCGTTATCACCGGTGTTGGCCGTGAGCGGGAATCGAATTCGTGTTGCCGGGTTCGTAGCGCGGCGTAGCGCTAACCGCTACACTACAGCTCCCCGCACAGACACACACACACACGCGCCGCCATTCATGATTGATCGAGTGGCGGTGATCTCACCACAAGGTCTGAACTTTGGCTCATAATGCGCCAGAGACACCACCGCCTAACTCCAGACCATAGATTGATGGCCATGATAAGCACCAACATTTCGTTGAGCTATCGTTTGCAATGGCCAGGTCACTAAATAGCTAAGTGGGATTTAAACCTGGCAAGAAATAAACAAAGTTGAATTGTTTTTGTATATTTTAGTTGTAGGTGATTTATATTCTTAGTTCTTTCGGTAAAGTCACGTGGAAGGGAAACAATAAAATAATAAAAATATAAAACAATAAAATTCTCACCACGTTTCGACTGCAACACAACAAGCAACCATCATCAGGTGTGAAAACCACAGCAAGAAAATTTGAAAAAAGTGGCGTTTTTTTACGTTAGCACCACGGAGAGCGATTTGGCAGTTATTCAGATGGACGAGTCCATCTATGTTTGGAAAAGAGGAGGGGGGAAGACGAAAATAATGGATGCGGTGTGGGTATGCGTAACATGGTGTGCGTGCGTGCGTGTCAATGGTTGGTTGGTAGTGTAGCGGTTAGCACGCTTCGCTACGAACCCAGCGACCCAAGTTTCGACTCCCGCTCATGGTCACCAACAGCAGTGACGATTATTTGAACTGGTCCTGGGCCTCCCCCCACCTAGGTCGACTCAGCCTCAATTGAGTAGCTGGTGCTGTGTGTAAGCATCGCCGCTGGGGAGACAAAGGCGGTCAGGCGTGGTGCTGGCCATCCACCTCCTCGCGTACCGTTTTGGTCTTCATAGGTGCTCGCGAACAGCACTTGCCCCGATCGTCTTGTTATGGCGATACGGTGGGATATTTGTGCGTGTGTGTGTGTGCACGTGCTCCCCAGGCATCTGCGAGAATGGATCGGTTCTCACTCTCCATCTCCGGCAGACAGCGGTTGGGTCAAGCAGCCCTCACACAGCAGCAGCAGCAGCACCACGTGAGTACACACAGCAGCAGCACCACGTGTGTACACACAGCAGCACGTGGGTACACACAGCAGCACCACGTGGGTACACACAGCAGCAGCACGTAAGTACACACAGCAGCACCACGTGTGTACACACACAGCAATACCACGTGGGTACACACAACAGCACCACGTGAGTACACACAGCAGCAGCACCACGTGGGTACACACATCAGCGGCACCACGTGGGTACACACAGCAGCACCACGTGGGTACACACAGCAGCAGCACGTGGGTACACACATCAGCAGCACCACGTGAGTACACACAGCAGCAGCACCACGTGCGTACACACAACAGCACCACGTGGGTACACTAAGCAACACCACGTGGGTACACTAAGCAACACCACGTGAGTACACACATCAGCAGCACCACGTGGGTACACACAGCAGCACCACGTGTGTACACACAGCGGCACCACGTGAGTACACACAGCAGCACCACGTGTGTACACACAGCAACACCACGTGAGTACACACAGCAGCAGCACCACGTGTGTACACACAGCAACACCACGTGGGTACACACAGCAGCACCACGTGGGTACACACAGCAGCACCACGTGGGTACACACAGCAGCACCACGTGGGTACACACAGCAGCACCACGTGGGTACACACAGCAGCACCACGTGGGTACACACAGCAGCAGCACCACGTGTGTACACACATCAGCAGCTCTACGTGTGTACACACATCAGCAGCACCACGTGAGTACACACAGCAGCACCACGTGGGTACACACAGCGGCACCACGTGGGTACACACAGCGGCACCACGTGGGTACACACAGCAGCAGCACCACGTGGGTACACACACAGCAGCACGTGGGTACACACAGCAGCACCACGTGGGTACACACAGCAACACCACGTGAGTACACACAGCAGCACCACGTGAGTACACACATCAGCAGCACCACGTGGGTACACACATCAGCAGCACCACGTGGGTACACACACAGCAGCACGTGAGTACACACACAGCAGCACCACGTGTGTACACACAGCAGCACCACGTGAGTACACACAGCAGCACCACGTGGGTACACACATCAGCAGCATCACGTGGGTACACACAGCAGCACCACGTGGGTACACACAGCAGCACCACGTGGGTACACACATCAGCGGCATAACGTGGGTACACACAGCAACACCACGTGGGTACACACAGCAACACCACGGTGGTACACACAGAAGCACCACGTGAGTACACACAGCAGCAGCACCACGTGGGTACACACTAAGCAGCACCACGTGGGTACACACAGCAGCAGCACCACGTGAGTACACACAGCAGCACCACGTGGGTACACACACAGCACCACGTGGGTACACACAGCAGCACCACGTGGGTACACACACAGCACCACGTGGGTACACACAGCAGCACCACGTGGGTACACACATCAGCAACACCACGTGGGTACACACAGCAGCACCACGTGGGTACACACAGCAGCACCACGTGGGTACACATAGCAGCGGCGGAATCATGGCATTCAGAATGCTGTATTTATACTGCAGGAGCAGGAATCCGATGAGCTATAAAGTTTTTTGCTCACAGATGTACAGTAGGGGATCACGGGGTCAGGACGTTACCACAACAACAAACGCAATGCTCACAATCACAATAGGAGTGCAAAGTATAGAAAACGTAAACAAATCACCTTCAACTAAAATATACAAATACAATTAAACTTTGTTTATTTCTTGCCAGGTTTAAATCCCACTTAGCTATTTGGTGACCTGGCCATCACAAACGATAGCTCAACGAAAGTTGGTGCTCATCATGGCCATCAATCTATGGTCTGGAGTTAGGCGGTGGTGTCTCTGGCGCATTATGAGCCAAAGTTCAGACCTTGTGGTGAGATCACCGCCACTCGGTCAATCATGAATGGCGGCGCGTGTGTGTATGTGTGTGTCTGTGCGGGGAGGTGTAGTGTAGCGGTTAGCGCTACGCCGCACTACGAACCCGGCAACACGAATTCGATTCCCGCTCACGGCCAACACCGGTGATTACGATTATCTGAAGCGGTTCTGGGCCTCCCCTAGGTCGGCTCAGCCTTAAACTATGACCTGTGTACAGTGGTGTGTAGTAAGCATCGTCACTAGAGGAGACAAAGGCGGCCGGGTGTGGTTACTGGCCACTCGCCCACCCACCCCCTCATGCACCACAGTGCCGGCCTTCATAGGCGCTGCTGCTGCTGCTGCTCCTCACTACTAACAGCACTCGCCTCAACAGCTTGTTACAGGCTATACGGCGCGGGGTGGGAGGGGGGGGAGGGTAATCTTTGTCTCTGTTGTCTTATTGTGTCTCCACGTCTCTCAGGCGGCAGTGGGAACCCAAGCTGATGTCGAAGCAGCGGCAGCAGAGATATTTCATTCAACAAACCCAGAATGAGTTCAACGAGATCCTGAAGGTGAAGGTGAGAGCTCGATGCTCGCGCAGCCGAACGGCTCCGCCGAGTTGATCGACGGCGGCTGCCTCCGTACGGCGCGAAAGAAGTTCAACGTGCATAGATCGACACACACAGTTTAACACGCAGGCTTTCGCCACCAATATTATTAATAATAAACGTTTTTGGGTTATTTAAGACCGGGAGCAAGGGGAGAGCCCCTCACCATTCTGGCAAATTGCCCGATGAAGCTGGATGTAATTACCAGCGAAACGTCACAGTACTCAAATTGTAAATGATGTTGATTCACTCTTCAACGCACCGGTGGGATAAAGTAGTGAATTACTTTGTCCTTTGTAAACGTGACACATTTTTTACTTTTGATTTAAAGCTTTCGTGACTGCAGTAATTCATATTCTTAGTTCTTTCGGTAAAGTCACGTTGAAGGGAAACAACAAAATAATAATATTGTTTTATATATATTTTATTATTTTGTTGTTTCCCTTCAACGTGACTTTACCGAAAGAACTAAGAATATACATTTTTTACTGTTTGGCCGTGTCGGGTGGTGGAGGGTTACAACACATTTATAAATAACGCGATCTAACCCAAAAACCTTTATTATGAATAGACACATACGTTCTAGATTTTAAGCTTTCTTGACTGCAAGGATTAATAATTTATGTTTTTTTCGGTAAAGTCACGTAGGTAAAATAAAATAGAACAATTAAATCACGACGTTTCGGTGGCAACACAAGCTTCCGTCTTCAGGTGGAACAGTCACAGCAGATATTCTGCTGTGACTGTTCCACCTGAAGACACATGCCTGTCGCGGGATATTTTTTGCCAGTGTCAAAGTATGAAAGATAATAATGGGTTTCATTACCCTTTCTGGCAATAATAAAACAGGAGTTTTGTGAGGATGTTCAAACACCAAATTAGATACCTTTTGCAAGGAATCAAGGTTGTGACGATAATCATCGCTGAGTTACCGTTTATCGTTGCCCTGCTGTACATTCTCATCGACAGGGTCAGCCCCGGCCTCGCAACCAAAATTCACCCATCCACAAAAAGAGACACAGCCAGGTAAGGGCCCCTTGAATCACGGGGTGACGCAGGGAGACACGGATACAGACACGGGGAGACACGGGGAGACACGGCGAGACACGGGAGAGACACAGGAAGACACGGGGGAGACACGGGGGAGACACAGGGGAGACACGGGGAGAAACGGGGGAGACACGGGGGAGACACGGGGGAGACACGGGGGAGACACGGGGAGACACGGGGGAGACACGGGGGAGACACGGGGAGAAACGGGGGAGACACGGGGGAGACACGGGGAGAAATGGGGAGACACGGGGGAGACACGGGGAGACACGGGGAGAAACAGCGGAGACACGGCGAGACACGGGGAGACACGGCGAGACACAGGGGAGACACGGGGAGACACGGGGGAAACACGGGGGAAACACGGGGGAGACACGGGGAGACACGGGGGAGACACGGGGGAGACACGGGGAGACAGGGGAGCAATGGGGGAGACACGGGGGAGACACGGGGAGACACGGGGTAGACACGGGGGAGAAACGGGCGACACAGTGAGACACGGGCGAGACACGGGACACATCACAAAACTGTGTTTATTTGACCAGGTAAGGCCCCACTGAGCTGTCTGGCTCATTTTCAGAGGCGACCTCTCTCTCATGTAATGATAGCTCAACGAAGTGGGCTTGTCAGCTGGTGGATATTCATAGCAGCCAAACGCTCTAAATGCGTTATTTCGTTGATTCTAAACGTTGAGGGCCCAGAGAAAAAATCCAGTTTCATTTATTTGGTATAGCCCTGTGAGCCATTCGGCTCTTGAATCGGGTGCAACCGCAACAAACAAAAAACATGAACAAGAAAACATCTTTAAGTGACTGTGACTGTGCAAACAGAAAATCCAGGAAAAAATCCACGTGAGCACGGAGAGAGAAAGAGAGACGCAAACTCGAAATATGCAGCAGGCGTCAGATTTGGGATCGAACCCAGGACCTCCTGCGTACCTGGCGAGGGAATAAACATCTCCTAGCCACGGCGCTGCCACTGCACAGTCGTAGCTCCCGCACGAAGACGGAGGACGACTCGGAGGCGTGAGGTGGATTAGAAAACACGGACACGTGGATCAGGAACACGTGGATCAGGAACACGTGGATCAGGAACACGTGGATCAGGAACACATTGATCAGGTCACTTGGTTTAGGAGCACGTTGATCAGGAACACGTTGATCAGGAACACATTGATCACGAAGACGTGGATCAGGAACACGTGGAATATGAACATATTGATCAGGAACACATGGATCAGACAAAGTTGATCAGGAACACATTGACCAGGTCACTTGGTTTAGGAGCACGTGGATCAGGAACACATTGATCAGGAACACGTGGATCTGGAACACGTGGATCTGGAACACATTGATCAGGAACACTTGGAATATGAACATATTGATCAGCAACACGTTGATCAAGAACACGTGGACCAGGAACACGTGGATCTGGAACATGTTGACCAGGAACACATTGATCAGGAACACGTGGATCAGGAACGCATTGATCAGGAACATGTGGATCAGGAACACGTTGATAAGTAACACCTGTAATATGAACATTGATCATGAACACATTGATCAGGAACACATGGATCAGACAACCGTTGATAAGGAACACTTGGACTATTAACATATTGATCAGTAACACATTGATCAGGAACACGTGGATCAGGAACACATTGATAAGTAACACCTGTAATATGAACATTGATCAGGAACACATTGATCAGGAACACATTGACCAGGAACACGTTGCTCAGGAACACGTGGATCAGGAACACATTGATCAGGAACACGTGGATCAGGAACACGTGGATCAGGAACACATTGATCACGTCACTTGGTTTAGGAGCACGTTGATCAGGAAAACGTTGACCAGGAACACTTGGAATATGAACACGTTGATTAGGAACACGTTGATCAGGATCACGTGGATCAGGAACACTTGGAATATGAACATATTGATCAGTAACACATTGATCAGGAACACGTGGATCAGGAACACGTGGAACAGGAACACGTGGAACAGGAACACGTGAAACAGGAACACGTTGATCAGGTCACTTGGTTTAGGAGCACGTTGATCAGGAACACATTGTTCAGGAACACGTGGATCAGGAACACTTGGAATATGAACACGTTGATCAGGAACACGTGGATCAGGAACACATGGATCAGGAACACATTGATCAGGAAGACGTGGATAAGGGACACGTGGATAACGAACACAGACACGTGGATCAGGAACACGTGGAATATGAACATATTGATCAGGAACACATGGATCAGACAAAGTTGATCAGGAACACATTGATCAGGTCACTTGGTTTAGGAGCACGTTGATCAGGAACACATTGATCAGGAACACGTGGATCAGGAACACGTGGATCAGGAACACATTGATCAGGTCACTTGGTTTAGGAGCATGTTGATCAGGAACACGTTGACCAGGAACACTTGGAATTTGAACACGTTGATCAGGAACACGTTGATCAGGAACACGTGGATCAGGAACACGTGAATCTGGAACACATTGATCAGGAACACGTGGATCTGGAACACATTGATCAGGAACACGTGGATCTGGAACACATTGATCAGGAACATGTGGAATATTAACATATTGATCAGGAGCAAATGGATTAGACAAACGTTGATCAGGAACACTTGGAATATGAACATATTGATCAGGAACACATTGATCAGGAACACGTTGATCAGGAACACGTTGCTCAGGAACACGTTGATCAAGAACACGTGGACCAGGAACACGTGGATCTGGAACACATTGATCAGGAACACGTGGATCACGAACACGTGGATCAGGAACACATTGATCAGGAACACGTTGATCAGGAACACTTGGAATATAAACACATTGATCAGGAACACATGGATCAGACAACCGTTGATCAGGAACACTTGGACTATGAACATATTGATCAGTAACACATTGATCAGGAACACGTGGATCAGGAACGCATTGATCAGGAACATGTGGATCTGGAACACGTGGATCAGTAACACGTGGATCAGGAACATGTGGAACAGGAACACGTGGATCAGGAACACTTGGAATATGAACACGTTGATCAGGAACACGTTGATCAGGAACACGTGGATCAGGAACGCATTGATCAGGAACATGTGGATCTGGAACACGTGGATCAGGAACATGTGGAACAGGAACACGTGGATCAGGAACACTTGGAATATGAACACGTTGATCAGGAACACGTTGATCAGGAACACGTTGATCAGGAACACGTGGATGAGGAACACGTGGATCAGGAACACGTGCATGAGGAACACGTGGATCAGGAACACGTGCATGAGGAACGGGTACACAGGGCCCGCTCTCGAGACAGTGGCGGCCGGGGGAGGGGAACACGTCCATGAGGGACGGACGGCTAAGAGGGAGAGGGAGCGATGGAATCCGTCTCGCACGCCATGGCATAGATGGATTGTCAAGTCACACAGATTGGTGATGGCCTTGGGCAGCCTTCATCCAGCAGTGGATAGATTATGGCTGACGATGATTGTGAAGTGATGTTGACGTTCTCTCTCTCTGTGTTGTATCGTTGATGTTGACGTTCTCTGTCTGTGTGTTGTATCGTTGATGTTGACGTTCTCTCTCTCTGTGTTGTATCGTTGATGTTGACGTTCTCTGTCTGTGTGTTGTATCGTTGATGTTGACGTTCTCTCTCTCTCTCTGTGTGTGTTGTATCGTTGATGTTGACGTTCTCTCTCTCTCTCTGTGTGTTGTATCGTTGATGTTGACGTTCTCTCTGTGTGTGTTGTATCGTTGATGTTGACGTTCTCTCTGTGTGTGTGTTGTTTCGTTGATGTTTATGTTCTCTGTCTGTGTGTGTTGTATCGTTGATGTTGATGTTCTGTGTGTGTGTGTGTTGTATCGTTGATGTTGACGTTCTCTCTGTGTGTGTGTTGTATTGTTGATGTTGACGTTCTCTCTGTGTGTGTTGTATCGTTGATATTGACGTTCTCTCTGTGTGTGTTGTATCGTTGATATTGATGTTCTCTGTGTGTGTTATATTGTTGATGTTGACGTTGTCTATGTGTCTGTGTTATATCGTTGATGTCGATGGTTCATTGCTCTGCTCTTGCTTAGGTTCCTCCGAGGCTTCAGGCGAAGAATTCTTCTACCGTCGCAGCCGCCTCCAGCGTTGGTGAGCCGGACATTAACGACAGCCGACCCTCGATGATTATTCGGGCTAATGACGGGGAGGACGGCCGCGGATAATTAAAAATTGCGGATAATCCAAAAATGTAAACATTTTCCGCGGACCTCTTGGCCAAAAACCACTAATAGAGGTACGCATTATTTCCCCTCTTTCTGGTTTCCGAACAACAACACTTTGTTTTTCTCTTGTTCATCCTACTACACGTGTGTGTGTGTCCATCCTACTACACACGCGTGTGTGTTCATCTTACTACACGCATGTGTCCATCCTACACACGCGTGTGCGTCCATCCTACTACACACGTGTGTGTGTTCATCCTACTACACGCATGTGTCCATCCTATACACGCGTGTGCATCCATCCTACTACACACGCGTGTGTGTTCATCTTACTACACGCATGTGTCCATCCTACACACGCGTGTGCATCCATCCTACTACACACGCATGTGTGTTCATCCTACTACACGCGTGTGTCCATCCTACACATGCGTGTGCGTCCATCCTACTACACACGCGTGTGTGTTCATCCTACTACACGCATGTGTCCATCCTACACACGTGTGTGTGTACATCCTACTACACACGCGTGTGTATCCATCTGGATCTCTGTGGTATTCAGGAGGTCCGGTGGACCGGCTCTGGCTCCTGCCACCATGAGGGGTGGGTGGACAGTCCTCTACTGTGGGCAGGAGACTGCCAAACAACAGGGAGTGGCTCTTCTTCTGAACAAAAGAATGAAGGGGGCGTGGGAACGTGGCGGTGAGGTGTGGGAAGCTGTAAGCCCCAGGCTACTTTGGGCTCGCCTTCCCATCAACCGGAGGCGAGGAGTGGTGGTCGTGGTTGTTTATGCCCCCACCGAAGACGAACATCCGTGGAGGGATGCAGGCAAAGCCGATGAGTCAGATGCCTTCTATGACCTCCTGTCACAGGTGCTGGCTAAAGTGGCCGTTCGGGATAGTCATCATGTTAGGTGACTTCAATGCCCGAGTTGGTCATGATGCTGATACCTGGTCTGGAGTGACTGGAAGACATGGGCCATATCAGCTCAATAACAACGGCAGGAGGCTGATATATTTTTGTGCAGCCCATGGGCTTGTAATTACCACTACGCTCTTCCAGCATTAGCGCGTCCACACAACATCACGGATGCACGCCGGGACCAAGCAAGAACATCTGCTGGACTACATAGTGACGGATCAGCGGATGCGGGCCCATGTCCTTGACACCAGCACCCACCATGGAGCTGATCTGCCCACTGATCGTCGGCTTGTCATATGTAAGATGCGCCTTCCATTCTTCCGCTCCGGTGGTGGGTGTCCATCTAGGATGCCATTCAAACCCACAGTGGCTTGGTCTCAGCTAGCTGATGAAAGTTGTCATCGCTTGCAGCTGGGGTTGGCATTGCCCCCCACTCCTGATGCCAAGGGGAAATGGGCGAAGTTTAGGACTGTGGCTCATGCAGCTGCAATGGTTGCTTTGGGTACATGGTCCAGGCCTCCCTCGAGACGCTGGCTGACAGAGGAGGTGTTCAGGTTGGCTGAGAAAAAGTGACAGGCCCACTCTCATCGGCTACAGCATCCCACGTCGGAGAATGAGAAGGCTTAACGCAGCCTTCGTTCAGAGGTTGGGAGAGCCGTGAGGCGCTGCAAGGATGAGAGTTGGTCGCGGGTTTCTGAGGAGATGGAGTCTGCCTCATTAGCCCACGATCACAAATCACTTTAAAACTCCCTCAATAAAGTTACTTGCAGCACCACACCTATCACCATCATTAGGGGAAAGAAAGGTGATCTGATCTCCAACCCCCAGGAACAGGTTTGCAGATTTGCTGAGCATTTCTGTGAGGTCTTGGAGGAGGGGAAATTCCTCAGCCTGGAAAACATCATGGGAAAATTTGGAGATGGCCCTGCTGAGGCTGCCATGCCTTAAATAATGGAAAAAGTTGTCACCCCCTGTGAGTGGCTGGCTGACGTGCCATCTGTTGAAGAAGTACAGAAGGCAATCCAGAGTCTTAGATCAGGAAAACCGCCGGGCAGAGATGATCTCCCAAGCAAAATGCTGAGGGAGGGTGTCATTTGTGCTCATAATAATAGTCTGGACCACTGGATGGTTTCCGCAGGATTGGAAGGATGCCCTGGTGATCCCCCTCTTTAAGAAGGGGGGACCGCACAGACTGTACCAACTACAGGGGCATCTCACTTCTCAGTGTGCCAGGAAAGGTCCTGGCAAGGATTATTAACATCGCCTTGCCAGGCACGCTGAGGAGAGGCTTGCGGAGCCCCAATGTGGTTTCAGGCCAGGGCGGTCCTGCACGGATGCCATATTTACTGTCCGTCTGCTACAGTGGAGGTGTAGGGACTTCCAACAGGAACGACACTTCTGCTTCATTGACCTGGTCAAGGCCTATGATACCATCTGTCGGCCTAAGCTCTGGGTTGTTCTTTGTGTTTTCGGAGTCCCTGACTCTGCTCACAATCATTAAGGGCCTTCATGATGGTGAGCGAGCCCGGGTAAAACTACGTGGCAGGAAGTCGGAGTCATTTCCTGCTCACCTTGGGGTGTGACAGGGATGTCCTCTGGCTCCCACATTATTTAACATCTATTTTGACCATGTAGTTCATGAAGACTTTGATGGTTGTACTGGAGGAATTTCAATTTAGTATAAATACAATGGGAGGGATGGCTCCGTATTGGTCAACCATGTTATGTTTGCTGATCTGTTGATTGCTGCTCACTCAGAGGAGGAGTTGGAGGCACTGTTGCTGAACCTGGAGCTTGACACTAAGAGGTGTGGCCTTCCCATCAGCCCCACGAAAACTAAGCATCTGCCTGGGTATTTTGTGCCATCAAACACTCCACCACCACCACTCCCAATTGGTGATGGGGCAGTTGTGGAGAGAGTGGAGAGTTTTCCATACCTGTGCAGTGTGCTCATGACTGGCGCTGGTTTGACAGCATAGGTCTCACTCTGAATCAGCCCAGAAGCATTCTACAGGGTGTTTAAAAAAGATGGACCCAATTTCAAAGCAGTACTGCTTTGAAATCGGGTCCATCTTTTTAAAACACCCTGGTATTTTCATCGGTTGCATAATGCTGTGTGGAAGCTAACCTGGCTTGTTGCTTCACACGAAGCTTCAGGTCTTCTCGGCCACGGTCATGCCCCCTCCCTTGTCTATACTTGCAAAACATGGACCCCCCCTAATTGAATCGTCTTCGCCAGTTAGAAAATTCTAGGCTAGCCTGCCTACGATTCATCCTGGGTTAAACCAGCCTGGATTGTGTGAGGAGCTCTCAAATCCTTGAAAGTCTCATTGGTGAGCTGCTCCGGCAGGCAAGGCTGCATTGGCTGGGTCATGCAGCCCGCATACCCGGCCACTGCATGCCTCAACAGCTTTTGTTCGGCCGGATAGAGGGCGCTAAATTGGCGTGGCACAGGCACGAGAAGAGATGGATGTTTGTTTAACATGTAGGCTTTCGCGACCAATGTTATTCATAATAAAGGTTTTTGGGTTAGATCGCGTTTATTTATAAATGTGTCGTAATCCTCCACCACCCGACACGGCCAATCAGCAAAAAAAAGTGTCACGTTGACAAAAGACAAATAATTCACTACTTTAGCCCACCAGTGTGTTGAAGAGTGAATCCGCAACATTTACAGTTTGAATACGACGTTTCGCTGGTAAATACATCCAGCATCATCGGGCAATTCGCCAGAATGGTAAAGCCCTCGCTTACTCTATATAAAACCGGGAGCAAGCGAGGGCTTTACCATTCTGGCGAATTGCCCGATGATGCTGGATGTATTTACCAGCGAAACGTCACAGTACTCAAACTGTAAATGTTGTGGATTCACTCTTCAACACACCGGTGGGCTAAAGTAGTGAATTATTTGTCTTTTTGTCAACGTGACACTTTTTTTGCTGATTGGCCGTGTCGGGTGGTGGAGGGTTACGACACATTTATAAATAAACGCGATCTAACCCAAAAACCTTTATTATTATTAATTATTATGAAGAAGAGATGGAATTATGTGGTACAGGAGAATGTAAAGCTTGAGTGGACTTGCCGATGAATGGTACCAGCGGTGTCAAGATCGGCCTCTGTGGAGGAGGCTCGTGAAGGACGCTACTGGGCAGTTGGAGGCAGTCGCCCTCCAGCAACAACGGAGAGTAGGGGAACAACGCTCACAACAATGAGCAAAGCGCCGGGTGGCTAAAGCTCAGCAAGTTGGCACGTTAGGGGGCACAGGTGGTGCATCAGCCAGTCATCTGTCAGGCAACCTGGTTCTCTGCTGTGATCTCCTGCCGGCGGGCGTTCAACACTTCACGTGGCCTCAAGGTGCACATGCCCTGGCACAAGCGCCGTGGTGACGTCACCGCCACTTAGTGGCGAATGGCGGTTGTTGTGTATGTGTCCATCTTACTACACGTGTGTCTATCCTACTACACGTGTGTGTCAAAATTAGCGGCCAGTTTCGACCTCATCACCGCCCCATCACCGGGTCATCTTCTATCTACCCACAACCCCTTTTTTCACTGCCTACGTTTATTCACCCCTTTGGGTCTAGTGATAAAAAGTATTCCTACCGGGTAGATGTAGTCGTAGTGAAAAGTTTGAAAAATAAGAATAGGTGTTCCCCTTTCTGGCAATAAAACAGGAGTTTTGTTAAGATGTGCAAACATCCAAGAGATACCTTTTGCAAGGCATAATGTCTGCATTAACCACACGCACTTGTGGCAAAACTTGCATTGTCTTTGTGCTGTTCGCCTTTTGGCATTCTCTGGTCTGACACCTGGTGGTGAGACAAGGCCAGAAAGAAGGCCGTTGTCTCTGGTGTAGGCCAATCAGTTTCAAAGACAATGCGTACACTATTATCAGAGCATGTTTGTTCGCCCGTTTCGCTACAAGTTACGTGTAGTTAATGCAGACTTGATGCCTTGCGAAAGGGGATCTCATTGGTGTTTTAAGCATCTTAACACAACTGCTGCTGTTTTATTGCCACGCAGGGTAATGAAGCCTATTGTTATTGTTTCATAATTATGACGCAGATAATAAAACGTTATTGCTACAGAGAAATTCAACTGAAACATGTCCGTGTGTGTGTGTGTGTGTGCGTGCGCGGGTTTCTCTCTCTCTAAAGACGCAGCTCCGGAACCGTTGCCCTCTTGGAGCTTGACACAGTCCCCGGGCGTCCCAGGGAGCCTGCCGATGGCCACCACCACCGGCACCGCCACAACCGCCACCACTGCAGTTGCCACCACCGCGGCGCCGCCACGCATCTTCTTTTCTCCTAGCATGGCGACGTTCTGCTTCGACTGGGCTCCAGTGATGCACTGCTTCGACTCCTAGCGAGCGATGAGAGGGGAGAGGGAGGGGAGAGGGAGAGCGAAGGGAGAGAGTGGAGAGAAAGGTGAGGGAGAGTGGAGGGATGGGAGAGAGAGAGGAGAGGGGGGGAGGAGGAGGGGAGAAAGAGGGGAGATAGAGAGGGAGGGGAGAGATAGGGGGGAGAGATAGGGGGGAGAGGTTTCCAGCGATCAGCTCGCCGCAGTTTCATCGACGTTGGTGGGTTCTCGTTTTTTACAGCGGCGACAGAAGACGTTTGTCGGCGAAGAGTTTTGGTTTTTTTCATTCGGCGGTGGCCGAGTCGATGGAAAAATCATCGAGCGCGACGGCGACGGTGGCTACGATCGCTGGCCGCCGGGGACCGCGGACAGCGCGGCAGACTGTGACGAGACGGAGCTTAGTGGTGTCCGGATGAAGAAGTGGACCGAGATGCAACGCTCTCCACGTTGACGTCACAGCGTCTAAATGCAACCGCATCAAGGGACGCTTCACGGGAAGAAAACAATATTCGCAGTGTGCGCGTCAGAACAAACAAGGGCAGCGGAATCTCGGCTGTGCAAAGTTCAAGAGGAGGAGAATTCCAGACCTTGCGGAGCGGAAGCCGGGAAGGAGCTAAACATTATCGGCGAAATAATTTAGTGCGTGTGCGTGTGTACGTTGGACTTATTTTCGTAACACCGTGCTGATCGGAAGTGCGGTGGGGGGTGAGGGCAACAAACTGAACACAAAAATCCATTGAGAGGGTTTTTTTTTTTTTGGTAAGATTGCGTAAATGTAAATGCGTCGTTTAAGCTAGAATTGTCTGCCGCCTGATGATGCTCACTGTTGTAATTGCCATCAAAACGTGACGGCACTCAAATGGTTTTACAATTACTCTCCAACACAGCGGTGTGCGGAACTATGACCTAATTGGCATGTTTTGTTTACGTGACAAACCCCTCACTAATTGGATGTGATGGGTGGTGATGGTGGTGGTGGTGGTTTTAACGGCACATTCATGATTACGCGATTCAACTGAACAAATCTCGATTATGGACGAGGTCCGTTGTTTTGCCGAACGCGGTTTTGCCCCAACGCGGATATTTTTCCAGAAACTTAATCCCCCCCCCCCTCTCCCCCACAAGCTTTCGTCGAAGTCCGCCTGCATTTAGTCGTTCTCTTCAATCTAGTTCACCCAAGCAGTCAATAATTTAATCGACGTTCCGAGTCATCGAAAGAAAGAAAACACTGGGGTTTTTTTTTCACCTGGTGAGGGCACACGGAGCTGTGTGCAGGAGAACCCCTCTTAACGACCACCCCCTGTGGACGACTGATCGCTTAACGGCGCGCCCCCATAGAGCCCCCATTGTGCGGCAGCTTTAACGACCCACATTTATATTTACGCCATCAACCGAAAAGCTTCAATTGTGGATAATATTGGTCGAGAAAGCCTCCCACGGGTTGAACTAAGTAATAGATCTAGCGGCGAAGCCAGGTTTGGCATTCTTGAGTCTGAAATGATCACACCCTGAATTTGTTTAACTAATACTACATGATGCCTCCACCCCCCCTTTCCCCCCCTTGCCATTTTACCATCCATACGAAAGGAGAAGCATAGTTTACTGGTAGGAACGAAGTTGTAAACTGAGTGTACCAGCCTGCAATAGATTAATGTGTCCGTCCGTCCGTCCCCTTTCAATACTTTAACGAAGTGAAATCTCGTGCTGTTGGGGTGTAAAATCAGCAATAGACAGCGCAGAGACTTGATATGTCTTATTGCACCCGACACAAAATGAGCAGATTTCAGTCAATAGGGATTTCACCGTTCCATTCCTCTACAGAGGTTAATTTGTCCGAAGAACCCTCAACGATTTTGAGGGCAAAAAGGTGGGAAGACGCTCTCAATTTGCACAATTTTACGTAGCAATGTCATAAAATTGCGCAAAATTCCAATGTTCCTACCAGCCCACCCTGCAGGGACCTGTTTTTAATAAAACGATGCCGAGTCACTCTTCGTGTCTCGTGTGTGGACACTCGGTCGGTCAACCCATGGCACCAACTGGGTCTGTCCCGTGACCTGCCAGCGGGCGTTCGACACTTCACGTGGCCTCAAATAGGGCTCGCAGCCTGGCACAGAAGCGCCATGGTGACATCACCGCCGCTTAGTGGCGAATGGTGGCTGTTGTCGAGCGCTCCTTTTCAAGCTTGATTAGGTGCTTTCGTGACTGCAGGAATTACTCTTTGCAGTCACGAAAGCACCTAATCAAGTTAGAATCACCTCTACGGGGAGGTTATGAAGTTTGTGTCTTTGTGTTGTCTCTGCTGGTGTATCTGCCCTTGTGTCTTGACTTGGGTCTGTATCACTTTGTTGTCTCTGCCTGTGTATGTGACCACGCGTTTCCACCCGCACCGTCTGCCTGTGTATGTGACCACGCGTGTGCACCCGCACCTTGCTTTGATATGTGCTCTCATGCTAATTTGTGTCCCATTGTCTCTGAGTCCCAGCTCCGCCGTTTCTGTCTATATAAGGCTTCGGCACATAGATGCACTGTGTGCGTGTCTCTGTGTGCGTGTCTCTCTGTGTGCGTGTCTCTCAGCATATGTCTCTTTGCGATCTGTGTTCTGTCACTGCTCTTAAATTTCACACTTAACTTACAATTTCGCAATCTTTGAAATAGCGTAATCAACCAGACCATGCGTTAATTGTGTTTTAACCGACCGTCAGTGTTGCTTTATATAGTTTCATAATTGTTGCTAAACCCTGTTTGATTTAGTGTGGTGCTCCGCCTCTCTCTGTGTCCCCTGATGTGTCTGTGTTAATTCTGTACCTGATGATGATTGCTTGCGTTGCAATCGAAACGTCGTATGCTATTATATAATTTTATTTTTTTATTATTTCTACGTGACTTTACCGAAAAAAACAAAGACTCCTTTTCAATTTCGCTTCAACATAAATAATAATATTTTTTAAAACTTTTTAAAAACTTTTTTTAAAAACACGCTTTTAAAAATATATTATTTTATACTTTTTAGTGTCATCAAATATTGTAACCAAATTGTATTTTATCCAGCAGTAGATCGATCGTCACATCGTAAACATGAATGTACTGTCGTAATGGAAGAGCTCCACGACTCCAGTAAGTGGCCCCCGAAGCTTGCCACAACGTCAGTTGACCGTGGACAATTAGACCCTGGCCGAAGCATAACATGAAAAATAATGTTTAAAAATAAAAAAAAATTGTTTTATGATAGAATGTAGCATTGTCACCATTGTGACGTAAGTAGACCAAGTTTTCAGTCGATACCACATTGGCAAGTGGGTTAACATTGAGTTTTGATTTAAAGCTTTCGTGACTGCAGTAATTCGTATTCTTTGCTCTTTCGGTAAAGTCACGTTGAAGGGACACAATAAAATAATAAAATATATATAAAGCAATTAAAAAAATTCGTTCATGAGGCCATCCACATATACAAGCACGGAGACAATTTCAACCGAGAAGATGGATTCTGGCTTAGCAATCATTGGAAAGAATTGATAAACCATTTCAGGTCTTAATTGATTGTTCACGCTTACGGTGGCTTTCAGACAGCATACATTAATTTTTCGTCTCCCCCCTCCTCTTTTCAGAACATAGATGGACTAGTCCTTCTAAATAAACTGCCAAATCGCTGCGCGTGGCGCTGACGGTTTTTATAAATAAATAAATACACCGTTTAAAAATAAATAAATGTATGCAAACCGACACACCTGATGACCGTTTGTGTCATGGTCGAAACGTCGTGAGAATTTTTTTTATTGTTTTATATATTTTATTATTTTATTGTGTCCCTTCAACGTGACTTTACCGAAAGAGCTAAGAATATAAAATTGAGTTGTACGATTTGAGGGTACAACAACGACAAAAACAACAGAGTGAGTTCAATAAAAGCGTGTAATACACCAGCGGTCGGGTTACTACGATACGTTCAATGCACGTTAAAAGTTGTTATAGCAGATAGGATTGTTTCCTGAAAAAAACTTTCTATTAAATTGCAGTTTCATATAGGTAGGCTCAGAATTTACCTTGTTTTTTTTACTTTCAATTTTACTCTGCAATACAGTATTGTAATTAATACATACAGTATATAGTTTATACAGTACGGTCCTGTAAATTGCTCTGTTTTGCTAAATTATCACCGTTCTTTAAGACTCCTGGGTAGGCTAGGCCATCTTCGACCTAACGATATTTTTGATTTTAAGCTTTCGTGACTGCAATGATTCATCTTCTTTGGTTCTTTCGGTAAAGTCACGTAGAATGAGAATAAAATAATAAATTGATAAAATAAAATAACACTAATATTCTCACGACGTTTCGGCCACAACACAAGCGGCCTTTCTGAAGAGATGCCGTGACTCTAAGCTTAAAGGTCGTGAGCTCAGCGTGGCTTTCTCACTCCAGCGCTGTCCTCCAGACAGTCTCGTCCCCTTCACCTGATGAAGGCCGCTTGTGTTGTGGCCGAAACGTCGTGAGAATATTATTGTGTTATTTTATTTTATCAATTTATTATTTTATTCTCATTCTACGTGACTTTACCGAAAGAACCAAAGAAGATATTTTTGACTTACGATGGGGTCGTCGTAACGCATCTCCATCGTGAGTTGAGGACTACCCTGTAATAAAAAAAAAAACGCGTCTACCCCTCTTCCCGCACCGCGGCACTCGCGCCCGAACCCACGGCCCCTGACGCTGTCGCCAGAACCTTTACAATTCTGACATCGAGGCATCCGAGTGATTTGACGTCCTCCCAACGGCTTGACGGCCAGATGCGCGCGGCAACGCGAAACATTTTGCGTTGTTCCATTGTGTGTGAGTGGAGATGATAATCATAAGCTGTGGCTATCCGTGTGCAGTTAAAACATCGCCCCCTGTGTTTCTGAAAAGAGACCTCGTTCGACACAACAGTGTATAGTTGCAACACGCTTTCGTAAATTGGTATTTGTGCTGTGATTCTCGTAGCGCCATGCCTGGGACCATCATCATGAAGGAGGGCGCCACTGTGGTGAATTGACACAGGCTTAAAAACTAGTCAGTTTCCGGAGGTCTGTATGTAAGT